CCACTCCCTGGATAATGGAAATCTTTCCGGTGTTCGTCTCTGGTGTAATGTCCATTGAACTTTTCAAAAGGAGTGATTGTGACGCTCCTGTGTCTCTTAGAACGGTGATATTCTTCTGAGACAACGGATCACCTGGTTTGCTAATGATGGCTTCGGCAATAAAAGATGAAAAGTCAACTTTTCTCGATCCCTCGAGATCGGTAGACTCGGAAGAAACTGGATGGTGGCGAGAACAGTCAAAATGTGACTGCACATAATGTGTGGAGACTTGACTACCTTCTTGCGGACACTTAGGATTAGAGTCCTTTTGAATTCTAGAGTTCATAGTTGAACTGGCTGCTTGAGGGGATAGAGCATAGTGCGCGGAAGTACGCACCACCTCTCTGTTATATTGACGACGTTTGTAACAGTCCTTGACAAGATGCCCAGACCTTTTGCAGAACTGGCATACTGCTCGACGATTGAGAGTTGATCTTGGTTTCTCTCTGGACTGTGATGCCTTCAAATGTTGGCCAACAGAATGATTGCTGCCAAAAAGGGGAAGCACTGGGTTGAGGCGGTTTCCTGACACTGGTGGTTTCTTATGCACCAACATATATGTGTCAGCCGACTCAGCAGCCTTCTGGATGTCAGTTATCTTGTTATCCAGTATGTGTAGTCGTATCTCTTCAGGCAGGGACGATAGGAATTCTTCCCTTAGGATAAGTGACCTGAGTTTCTCAAACTCAGAAACTTCTTCAGAGTGTAGCCACCTTGAAAATATTTTCTCCTTTTCAAAGAGAAATTCCACATATGATTGTGTGGGTAACTTGCGGAGTGTTCGGAATTTTGTCCGATAGGCCTCGGGCGTCAGTGCGTAGGCCTTTAAAATGGCAGTCTTGACCAAACTATAGTTATTTTGAACGTCGTGAGAGAGTGCCTGGTATGTTTTTGCAGCTTTCCCAGTAAGGACAGAGCTCAATAAAGCAGTAATGGAAGTCTCGGGCCATTCACATGTCTTCGCTAAACTCTCAAATGAGTTAAAGAAAACGACCAAATCTGTTTCATCAAATTTAGGAACTAATTTCCCAAATTTGGCAATCACTTGCCCTACCGACAACTTTTTTGGATCTACCGGAGAAGTGACATCACTAACTTGACCAAACTCTAATTCCAACCTCCTCTTATCTAAAGCAATTTTAGCCTCTAACTCCTGTTTCTCTAGAGCAACTTTCTCCTTCTCTAGAGCACTTTTAGTTTCAAACTCCTTTTCTTTTAATAGAAGCTCCCTCTCTTCTATAGATTTCTCCTCGCGGAGCAACACACTAGCTAACAAACTTTCGTCAAATACTCCTTCATTAATGAAATGAACAACAATTTTATCTCTCAACACCTCTGACTTCTGCGTAACAGAATAATCCAATTTCAATTCCTTAACAACACTAACCAAAACTTTTCTACTCAACTTTTCTACATCTTCAACAGTAGGATTAGCCAAAAAAGACTCCATAACACTACTTGAAAATCACAACAAGCCTAGATCCTTTAAATTAATACACAGCGTTGGGCCGTGTACTTGACCTCTAAATGTAGGACGTGACACGTCTGCTTATTTGACCTAGATACTCTAGCCTGAGCGCGCGTTGTAAGAACACTGCGCTACTGGATATAAAAACAACTAAATCCAACTAACCTTAATATTCAACTGATATAACCAACAACTGGAACGACAGATTAAATCCCGGACGAGCCCCCACTTTGTAACGTTAACCTATCTATCAGCTAAATAGAAGGAGAACGTCCCCGGATTCTTTTTTCGGGGTCATATGCAAATGCCTTACGGCCTAAGTGGATGAACACTTAACACAACGTCCCACTAGGGCTCGAAATTAATGTCTAGGGAAGCTAGTGGTACTATTGTAATTAACACTCATCCAATCTACATACGACCATTTAATCAGCGAACTCAGTTGTGGCAAAACACAAAGATGAACTAGATAAAATATTTAATGTATAAAATATCAAAAACCCAACTTACACAATGTAGGAAAAAAACACTATCACAGATTTCTACACTGTCTAAAGAACAGCTACAGGCCACACAACACTGCTGTAGCTTCTAGACTTACTTAGCGACAAGTAATATTAAACTAGAAGATTAAATCAACTGAAGAAAGCAAGGCACACACAGGTCTTAAGTACTCTCACGTTCAAATGGTCAGAGTCTATAGCCGGACAATATGGACGGCTGCCTGACTAAGGTAAAACGGCCTCGTAGACTTTTAGGTCAAGAAAAACTGCCTCGTGTTGCGAGTTTGCGGGGCAATTAAAGACTTCTGTGACAGGGGAGGTTATCCTCAACTCATGTCGCCATTGGTTGGGATAATCATCTGATCAGAATCATTCAATCAGATTTTAATGGAAATTTTCTATGTCTCAAACACCTTAATAGTCAATGGAAAAACCCCAGGTGTTACACAATCATTCCATATAAGGAAATATACAATGTCAAAATAAAAATGACTCGACCTAAGTAGGTCACAACGGTTAGAACACAATGGACAGATAGAGGAGTCATAATCACACTCGTCAACATCTGGTGAAACATGCAGGGTTAGAACACAATGGACAGATAGAGGAGCCATAATCACACTCGTCAACATCTGGTGAAACATGCACGGTTAGAACACAATGGACAGATAGAGGAGCCATAATCACACTCGTCAACAGCTAATGAAACATGCAGGGTTAGAACACAATGGACAGATAGAGGAGCCATAATCACACTCGTCAACATCTGGTGAAACATGCACGGTTAGAACAGAATGGACAGATAGAGGAGCCATAATCACACTCGTCAATATCTGGTGAAACATGCACGTTTAGAACACAATGGACAGATAGAGGAGCCATAATCACACACGTCAACATCTGGTGAAACATGCACGGTTAGAACACAATGGACAGATAGAGGAGCCATAATCACACTCGTCAACAGCTAATGAAACATGCACGGTTAGAACACAATGGACAGATAGAGGAGCCATAATCACACTCGTCAACAGCTAATGAAACATGCACGGTTAGAACACAATGGACAGATAGAGGAGCCATAATCACACTCGTCAACATCTGGTGAAACATGCACGGTTAGAACACAATGGACAGATAGAGGAGCCATAATCACACTCGTCAACATCTGGTGAAACATGCACGGTTAGAACACAATGGACAGATAGAGGAGCCACAATCACACTCGTCAACAGCTAATGAAACATGCACGGTTAGAACACAATGGACAGATAGAGGAGCCATAATCACACTCGTCAATATCTGGTGAAACATGCACGGTTAGAACACAATGGACAGATAGAGGAGCCATAATCACACTCGTCAATATCTGGTGAAACATGCACGGTTAGAACACAATGGACAGATAGAGGAGCCATAATCACACTCGTCAATATCTGGTGAAACATGCAGGGTTAGAACACAATGGACAGATAGAGGAGCCATAATCACACTCGTCAATATCTGGTGAAACATGCAGGGTTAGAACACAATGGACAGATAGAGGAGCCATAATCACACTCGTCAACATCTGGTGAAACATGCACGGTTAGAACACAATGGACAGATAGAGGAGCCATAATCACACTCGTCAACATCTGGTGAAACATGCACGGTTAGAACACAATGGACAGATAGAGGAGCCATAATCACACTCGTCAACATCTGGTGAAACATGCACGGTTAGAACACAATGGACAGATAGAGGAGCCATAATCACACTCGTCAATATCTGGTGAAACATGCACGGTTAGAACACAATGGACAGATAGAGGAGCCATAATCACACTCGTCAATATCTGGTGAAACATGCACGGTTAGAACACAATGGACAGATAGAGGAGCCATAATCACACTCGTCAACATCTAATGAAACATGCATGGTTAGAACACAATGGACAGATAGAGGAGCCATAATCACACTCGTCAACATCTGGTGAAACATGCACGGTTAGAACACAATGGACAGATAAAGGAGTCATAATCACACTCGTCAACATCTGGTGAAACATGCACGGTTAGAGCACAATGGACAGATAGAGGAGCCATAATCACACTCGTCAACATCTAATGAAACATGCAGGGTTAGAGCACAAGACATTCATGCAAAACAACGTGTTGATTCAGTGGCTTTTTCCTGTGTAGTTCACGTTTATATTCAAGATTACAATTATATGCATACACATGTACTAAATGTTTATGTAGTAAATACTTCAAATACATGATGGCATTGCAAACTTTAATGTAAATTGTTTGTTATAATTTGAGGTGCATCTATGCATATGAAACGTTCAAGAGAATCTAGTTTTATGCAAAGTTGAGGAGAATCTAGGCTAATAAAAAATTCAAACGGATCTAGGCATCTCAGAACTAAAATGTAAAAGAATTACCTCACTATTTGATGAAGGTTTAACAGAATAACCGCAATGGACCTACCTACACATTTCTAGAAGTGAATCTGTGAAGTAAATGGACCTACCTACACATTTCTAGAAGTGAATCTGTGAAGTAAATGGACCTACCTACACATTTCTAGATGTGAATCTGTGAAGTAAATGGACCTACCTACACATTTCTAGAAGTGAATCTGTGAAGTAAATGGACCTACCTACACATTTCTAGAAGTGAATCTGTGAAGTAAATGGACCTACCTACACATTTCTAGAAGTGAATCTGTGAAGTAAATGGACCTACCACACATTTCTAGAAGTGAATCTGTGAAGTAAATGGACCTACCTACACATTTCTAGAAGTGAATCTGTGAAGTAAATGGACCTACCTACACATTTCTAGAAGTGAATCTGTGAAGTAAATATACCTACCTACACATTTCTAGAAGTGAATCTGTGAAGTAAATGGACCTACCTACACATTTCTAGAAGTGAATCTGTGAAGTAAATTGACCTACCTACACATTTCTAGAAGTGAATCTGTGAAGTAAATGGACCTACCTACACATTTACCAGTTTCGTCTTGTCTTAGACCTCTAGGACATTGACACAAATAAGTTCCTGGTTTGTTGATGCATAGCTGCTCTACGGTACATTGGTGGGTACCCAGTTCACACTCATCAATATCTGGATAAATCATTGGTCAGTTTATCAATATCTGGATAAATCATTGGTCAGTTCATCAATATCTGGATAAATCATTGGTCAGTTCATCAATATCTGGATAAATCATTGGTCAGTTCATCAATATCTGGATAAATCATTGGTCAGTTCATCAATATCTGGATAAATCATTGGTCAGTTCATCAATATCTGGATAAATCATTGGTCAGTTCATCAATATCTGGATAAATCATTGGTCAGTTCATCAATATCTGGATAAATCATTGGTCAATTCATCAATATCTGGATAAATCATTGGTCAGTTCATCAATATCTGAACAAAACATTGGTCAGTTCATCAATATCTGAACAAATCATTGGTCAGTTCTTATGCATCTTTAGACATGATTCGAATAGATTACAAGAATAGAAAGAATTGGTTCAATTGTTGCTTTATAAAACTGTTGTACCTTAGAATGAGTTGATAGTAAATACTTAACACGTTTTCAAAAGCTGAAGAACAGATGTGCGTATAGACGACCCAGCTGGTGTGCATGCGTTCATGCCCGCAATCATGCCCTCATTGCACAACATCAACTATGCCCTCCATCATGCTCTACATCCACAATATTAAACATGCCCTCTATTAACAATATCAAACAAAAATTAAATTTAAGGTCCCATTAAAAATTATATGTTATACTTAAAAAATAGAAAGCAGACCCTGACTTTTCAAAATTTTTCAACATGTCTGCATCTGATATTTCAACAAGTCTGCATCTGATATTTCAACATGTCTGCACCTGATATTTCAACATGTCTGCATCTGATATTTCAACATGTCTGCATCTGATATTTCAACATGTCTGCATCTGATATTTCAACATGTCTGCATCTGATATTTCAACATGTCTGCATCTGATATTTCAACATGTCTGCATCTGATATTTCAACATGTCTGCATCTGATATTTCAACATGTCTGCATCTGATATTTCAACATGTCTGCATCTGATATTTCACCATGTCTGCATCTGATATTTCAACATGTCTGCATCTGATATTTCAACATGTCTGCACCTGATATTTCAACATGTCTGCATCTGATATTTCAACATGTCTGCATCTGATATTTCAACATGTCTGCATCTGATATTTCAACATGTCTGCATCTGATATTTCAGAATGCAACCAAGCAGTGACGTCATTGTGCACTAACAGGATGTCATCAGACCCCCACCCCCCTCCAACATTTTAGTTTCACCTCACTCCCTCTATATTTTGGCGTCCTAACTCGATAAAACATTGTACAGTTTACGATTTTTCGTCCTGGTGTCACCCGGTGCTGCACATTTGGCGAACAATAATATAAAGAAAATAAAAACAGATGAAATTAACATTGTTCATTGTTGTCTCCCCTCCACCCCATTAGGAAGTGTCTGAAAGAAAAACACTGGTGTTTTGTCAATTTTGCCTCTCCATCGCAGCCTTAAAAAAAAACAACTTAAAAGTCCGAAAACCAATGTTATAAAAGTGGCAATCGCAGATAACTTAAAAATATTCTTTGGCGTTTAAACCTACATTTCTATTTATTTTCATCAAGCCTGAAGTTTCACTTTAGTAAGACAAACTTTGATTAGCTATATAAAAACAAAGTGATCGTGTTTATGAAAACCCAACTTTGTTTTAACACGTACACTAAACTTTACCGGTAAATATTTAAAATAAACTATACTTTTTAGAATCCATATGAACTAGTTATGCCATGTTTATTTATATTTTCAGTGACAAAAATGAGAGAAAAAACTAATTTTAAAAACTATTTTTAAAAAATTGTGTTTAGTTACCGAAAATACTAAAAAAATCATATACGTTCAATCTTTGTAAAGTCCGAGAAAACTACACATTCAAGTTCTTAAAACTTTTTTAATAACATATCACACGATTTTAAAACTGTTTAATGGAACTTTTGAGATTTTTTCCAGCTGGGGCCAGAGGCGTAGCGAAGTGGGGGGGGGGGGGGGACCCAAGGGGCGCCAAAATGGGTTGGAAAAAAATTGAAAGCTCATTTTAGCAGCACTTCTGAATTATAAACATAAAAAATAAAGGGGGGGGGGGCGCCTAATTGAAAGTTTGTCTCCGGGCGCCGGGAGGGGTCGCTACGCCTATGGCCGGGTCCATTAGCATGGGTACATTTTTGTTTTTATCTTACCAGATTGAGAAAACTTATGGCGGAGATACGCGTGGCATTGCTCAACCTAGTTGGGAAATCGCTCTTTGTCATTAAGCGCTCAGTGTCTAGGTGATTGTAAATACGATAATAGTAGTATTAAACGTTTTAAAAGGCACTTGTTTTAATAATTATAACAATTTCAAGTAATCGCGTTACTTTGACCAAATGATGAAGTCAATGTAAAATGTTTGTAATGATATCAAAATAAGAGAAGATTGAGGAATAGAAAATAAACAACCCCAGTGATGTCAATGAAACGGGCGCAAGAGTAAATATATCGTTTGAAGTAGAATATAAAATCACAAATGATTAGCCCCCAATAAATTTGTTTAAAAATAAAAGTGATCCAGAAAAAAAAAATTAACAACGCGTAGATGGTTCTAACATATCTAAAAAAACACTCAATAAATAGAAATAAACCAAAGTGATGGGCTAAGACCTTCTTAAAATAAATAATCGCTGGGATCAAACTAGGAATATTTCTGTTGCTATATTATACATCCCAAACATTCAATCAAAATCCAATTCTAGATCTTGCATCTTATCTGCCTTTTTATTGCTTCTGTTCTATATATATATATATATATATATATATATATATATATATATATATATATATATGGTAATCTATCGTTTTAGGTACGTAAAATCGGCCGCAACTAGTAATGTGAAAAACAGGTGACTCCTTACATTTTAATAATTATTTCACATTTTGATGAGGATTTATGTTTTGAAAAATACAAAAATGTTTCCTTGTTTCATTTATGTACCTGTTTTTAAACAATTGAATTAAAACTTTTCAGTAATAAATGAACACCAGCGATGTTTCCAACAGATGCAACCACGCTCATTTACTATAGCAGCCATCTTGTTTAAGTTTTATTTTTATAGACATATAGCGCGAGATTCAGGCGGAAGTCACTCTATTTTACAAATGGCTGCTGTTTATATAGCAAATCTTGCTTGCAGACACAGCTGTTTAAAGTTAATTTCTGGCCTATATTGATATATTTAGCCATTGATTTAGGTTTATTATTCATTTATCTATAATATTTGACACAAACATATCACAATATACTTCTATTACAGCCTTGACAATGAGGTAACGTTTTCGTACATTAATAGCCGAGGGCGATTTTACGTACCCAAAACGATAGATTACCTATATATATATATATATATATATATATATATATGTAACTAGTGTAGTTACTAGAGACGATAAGAACGCAATACAGTCTGTCAACTAAAGACACGATCAAGGCCAAACTGGGCTGATGCAACTGAACGGTGTGGACTGATAACGAACACAAAGCCGCTGCGTAGTTTATAGTCTGATGCAACGAATGGGAAGTATTACGTATACAAGGGATATATGGGAAGGCGACTGGTAGAGAACGGCAGAACCCAGTTGGAGACTGAACTGTGAGGACGTGTTGTGGTTTGTGAGGATAGGAACGATGGACACGTGCATTCTGATATGTGAGGACTAGTGAGGACAGTGGGGGTCAGTTGGTTCATTGTATTCTTGTGGAACATTGATGCATTGTTATGTGGAGCATTTCTATTGATTCATGTAATAAAGAGATCAATGTAAACCTGTACTTCCGAGTATCTGTATTGTGGTCGATGTTGTGTGCTGGTCAAAGATAGCACGAGTAAATACATTCGGTAACATTTGGCACTACAAGTAAATAGACTCGGTAACAGTTGGCGTTGTCAATACACTCGGTAACATATATATATATATATATATATATATATATATATATATATATATATATATATATATATATATATATATATATATATATATATTTGCCCTATATAATTGAATGCTTCTAAAATTTCCAACTTTTATTATAAGATTGCCATGTCATGTATCTCCTAACTGTAATTATCACGCAATTTAAGTTCTTTAATTGTAGCTTTAGATATTTTCCACCCATATCTCGAGGCTGTAAAAACAACGACTTACCTTGACACCCTGTGCTCAATGTTGGCTCATATCCCGGTGGACAGTTGACGTAGTTTCTGCAGTAGTAGGAGCCACGAGTGTTGATACATCTCTGATGTCTTTTACACGCCGAGTTGCCCAGCTCAGCGCACTCGTCTATGTCTGAAGTGGTTGATTGGGTTATGTCTAGGCTGACAATCATCAAATTGATGTCTAGGCTGGCAATTATCTAATTGATGTGTAGGCTGGCAATTATCTAATTGATGTGTAGGCTGACAATTATCTAATTGATGTCTAGGCTGACAATCATCTAATTGATGTTTAGGCTGACAATTATCTAATTGATGTGTAGGCTGACAATTATCTAATTGATGTGTAGGCTGGCAATTATCTAATTGATGTGTAGGCTGACAATTATCTAATTGATGTGTAGGCTGGCAATTATCTAATTGATGTCTTGGCTGACAATCATCTAATTGATGTCTAGGCTGGCAATTATCTAATTGATGTCTTGGCTGACTATTACCTAATTGATGTGTAGGCTGATAATTATCTAATTGATGTGTTGGCTGACAATTATCTAATTGATGTTTAGGCTGACAATTATCTAATTGATGTCTAGGCTGACAATTATCTAATTGATGTGTAGGCTGACAATTATCTAATTGATGTCTAGGCTGGCAATTATCTAATTGATGTGTAGGCTGGCAATTATCTAATTGATGTCTTGGCTGACAATTATCTAATTGATGTCTTGGCTGACAATTATCTAATTGATGTCTAGGCTGACAATTATCTAATTGATGTTTAGGCTGACAATTATCTAATTGATGTCTTGGCTGACAATTATCTAATTGATGTTTAGGCTGACAATTATCTAATTGATGTCTTGGCTGACAATTATCTAATTGATGTCTAGGCTGACAATTATCTAATTGATGTCTAGGCTGACAATCATCTAATTGATGTGTAGGCTGACAATCATCTAATTGATGTGTAGGCTGACAATTATCTAATTGATGTGTAGGCTGATAATTATCTAATTGATGTGTAGACTGACAATTATCTAATTGATGTCTAGGCTGACAATTATCTAATTGATGTGTAGGCTGACAATTATCTAATTGATGTCTTGGCTGACAATCATCTAATTGATGTCTAGGCTGACAATTATCTAATTGATGTCTTGGCTGACAATTATCTAATTGATGTCTAGGCTGACAATTATCTAATTGATGTCTAGGCTGACAATTATCTAATCGTGCGGCGTTAAAACGGCCAATGACAAAACGGCCCCGTCAATACGACCCCGACAAATCGGCCCCGACATAAGGGCCAGCGACAAATAGGCTCCCGTCATATAGGCTTCCGACAAAATGGCTCCAGTCAATAAGGCTCCCGACATATAGGCTCCCGTCATTTAGTTTTTCGACTAAACGGCCCCCGTCATTACAACTCCTGACAAATAGGCCCCCGTCATTTTGGCTCACGATAAATAGGCTCCTGTCAATTTAGCTCCCGACAAAAGGACCACTGACAATACGGTTTCTGTAGAGATTAAGTCTCCCGGTAAAACGGTCTCATTGAATATGACACCTGCCAAGCGGACCCCTTCATCAATATTCTTTGAGTTAGCTTATCCAACACTCTTAAGTAATACAACGTATGAATCTCTTGTTCGGCTGGCCTTATTTTTATAATAGTTTATCTATTATAAGAAATAGTATGTTTTAATTTAAGGGTCATCTATCTATGACTTACATAAATGAGTCGATTATATGCTTTTCCAACTCAGTGTGTGGGGAGAGGGGTCCATGCTGTACATTCCTACCTGCAATATGCTTGTAGGTTATCAAAACAAAATGTCTTTATCCTGTAAACATCATTTACATCATGCATTAACACTTCTGTGCTCGCTTTTAAGCAACATATATTTTCTGTTGTAAATTTAACATTATCACACATTTGGAATTGGTGGAATTTAGCTGTTAAGGGCTAGATTTGTTTGTGAATTGAAGTTGGTTCATGAAAAACAATTTCATGCAGCCATTTAAAAGAGGTTATAGTGGTAGTGGATGTATGACAAAATGGTTACTTTTATGCCAATAGTGGTAATACGATTCATTTGTCTGGAGCCAATATATCGGGAGCCCTTTTGTCGGTAGCCAATATGTCGGGTGTCAATATGTCGGGAGCCTAAATGTCGGGAGCCCATTTGTCGGGAGCCTATTTGTCGCGAGCCCCTTTGACGGGAGCCAATAAGTCGGGGCCCTTTTGACGGAGCTATTTTGACGGGGTCGTTTTGTCGGGGTCATATTAACGGGGCCGTTTTGACGGGGCCGTTTTGACGGGGCCGATTTGTCCCGGGCAGTTTTGGAGGTGCACCTTATCTAATTGATGTGTAGGCTGATAATTATCTAATTGATGTGTTGGCTGACAATTATCTAATTGATGTGTAGGCTGATAATTATCTAGATGATGTCTAGGCTGACAATTATCTAATTGATGTCTAGGCTGACAATTATCTAATTGATGTTTAGGCTGACAATTATCTAATTGATGTCTAGGCTGACAATTATCTAATTGATGTGTAGGCTGACAATTATCTAATTGATGTCTAGGCTGGCAATTATCTAATTGATGTGTAGGCTGGCAATTATCTAATTGATGTCTTGGCTGACAATTATCTAATTGATGTCTTGGCTGACAATTATCTAATTGATGTCTAGGCTGACAATTATCTAATTGATGTTTAGGCTGACAATTATCTAATTGATGTCTTGGCTGACAATTATCTAATTGATGTTTAGGCTGACAATTATCTAATTGATGTCTTGGCTGACAATTATCTAATTGATGTCTAGGCTGACAATTATCTAATTGATGTCTAGGCTGACAATCATCTAATTGATGTGTAGGCTGACAATCATCTAATTGATGTGTAGGCTGACAATTATCTAATTGATGTGTAGGCTGATAATTATCTAATTGATGTGTAGACTGACAATTATCTAATTGATGTCTAGGCTGACAATTATCTAATTGATGTGTAGGCTGACAATTATCTAATTGATGTCTTGGCTGACAATCATCTAATTGATGTCTAGGCTGACAATTATCTAATTGATGTCTTGGCTGACAATTATCTAATTGATGTCTAGGCTGACAATTATCTAATTGATGTCTAGGCTGACAATTATCTAATCGTGCGGCGTTAAAACGGCCAATGACAAAACGGCCCCGTCAATACGACCCCGACAAATCGGCCCCGACATAAGGGCCAGCGACAAATAGGCTCCCGTCATATAGGCTTCCGACAAAATGGCTCCAGTCAATAAGGCTCCCGACATATAGGCTCCCGTCATTTAGTTTTTCGACTAAACGGCCCCCGTCATTACAACTCCTGACAAATAGGCCCCCGTCATTTTGGCTCACGATAAATAGGCTCCTGTCAATTTAGCTCCCGACAAAAGGACCACTGACAATACGGTTTCTGTAGAGATTAAGTCTCCCGGTAAAACGGTCTCATTGAATATGACACCTGCCAAGCGGACCCCTTCATCAATATTCTTTGAGTTAGCTTATCCAACACTCTTAAGTAATACAACGTATGAATCTCTTGTTCGGCTGGCCTTATTTTTATAATAGTTTATCTATTATAAGAAATAGTATGTTTTAATTTAAGGGTCATCTATCTATGACTTACATAAATGAGTCGATTATATGCTTTTCCAACTCAGTGTGTGGGGAGAGGGGTCCATGCTGTACATTCCTACCTGCAATATGCTTGTAGGTTATCAAAACAAAATGTCTTTATCCTGTAAACATCATTTACATCATGCATTAACACTTCTGTGCTCGCTTTTAAGCAACATATATTTTCTGTTGTAAATTTAACATTATCACACATTTGGAATTGGTGGAATTTAGCTGTTAAGGGCTAGATTTGTTTGTGAATTGAAGTTGGTTCATGAAAAACAATTTCATGCAGCCATTTAAAAGAGGTTATAGTGGTAGTGGATGTATGACAAAATGGTTACTTTTATGCCAATAGTGGTAATACGATTCATTTGTCTGGAGCCAATATATCGGGAGCCCTTTTGTCGGTAGCCAATATGTCGGGTGTCAATATGTCGGGAGCCTAAATGTCGGGAGCCCATTTGTCGGGAGCCTATTTGTCGCGAGCCCCTTTGACGGGAGCCAATAAGTCGGGGCCCTTTTGACGGAGCTATTTTGACGGGGTCGTTTTGTCGGGGTCATATTAACGGGGCCGTTTTGACGGGGCCGTTTTGACGGGGCCGATTTGTCCCGGGCAGTTTTGGAGGTGCACCTTATCTAATTGATGTGTAGGCTGATAATTATCTAATTGATGTGTTGGCTGACAATTATCTAATTGATGTGTAGGCTGATAATTATCTAGATGATGTCTAGGCTGACAATTATCTAATTGATGTCTAGGCTGACAATTATCTAATTGATGTTTAGGCTGACAATTATCTAATTGATGTCTAGGCTGACAATTATCTAATTGATGTGTAGGCTGACAATTATCTAATTGATGTCTAGGCTGGCAATTATCTAATTGATGTGTAGGCTGGCAATTATCTAATTGATGTCTTGGCTGACAATTATCTAATTGATGTCTTGGCTGACAATTATCTAATTGATGTCTAGGCTGACAATTATCTAATTGATGTTTAGGCTGACAATTATCTAATTGATGTCTTGGCTGACAATTATCTAATTGATGTTTAGGCTGACAATTATCTAATTGATGTCTTGGCTGACAATTATCTAATTGATGTCTAGGCTGACAATTATCTAATTGATGTCTAGGCTGACAATCATCTAATTGATGTGTAGGCTGACAATCATCTAATTGATGTGTAGGCTGACAATTATCTAATTGATGTGTAGGCTGATAATTATCTAATTGATGTGTAGACTGACAATTATCTAATTGATGTCTAGGCTGACAATTATCTAATTGATGTGTAGGCTGACAATTATCTAATTGATGTCTTGGCTGACAATCATCTAATTGATGTCTAGGCTGACAATTATCTAATTGATGTCTTGGCTGACAATTATCTAATTGATGTCTAGGCTGACAATTATCTAATTGATGTCTAGGCTGACAATTATCTAATCGTGCGGCGTTAAAACGGCCAATGACAAAACGGCCCCGTCAATACGACCCCGACAAATCGGCCCCGACATAAGGGCCAGCGACAAATAGGCTCCCGTCATATAGGCTTCCGACAAAATGGCTCCAGTCAATAAGGCTCCCGACATATAGGCTCCCGTCATTTAGTTTTTCGACTAAACGGCCCCCGTCATTACAACTCCTGACAAATAGGCCCCCGTCATTTTGGCTCACGATAAATAGGCTCCTGTCAATTTAGCTCCCGACAAAAGGACCACTGACAATACGGTTTCTGTAGAGATTAAGTCTCCCGGTAAAACGGTCTCATTGAATATGACACCTGCCAAGCGGACCCCTTCATCAATATTCTTTGAGTTAGCTTATCCAACACTCTTAAGTAATACAACGTATGAATCTCTTGTTCGGCTGGCCTTATTTTTATAATAGTTTATCTATTATAAGAAATAGTATGTTTTAATTTAAGGGTCATCTATCTATGACTTACATAAATGAGTCGATTATATGCTTTTCCAACTCAGTGTGTGGGGAGAGGGGTCCATGCTGTACATTCCTACCTGCAATATGCTTGTAGGTTATCAAAACAAAATGTCTTTATCCTGTAAACATCATTTACATCATGCATTAACACTTCTGTGCTCGCTTTTAAGCAACATATATTTTCTGTTGTAAATTTAACATTATCACACATTTGGAATTGGTGGAATTTAGCTGTTAAGGGCTAGATTTGTTTGTGAATTGAAGTTGGTTCATGAAAAACAATTTCATGCAGCCATTTAAAAGAGGTTATAGTGGTAGTGGATGTATGACAAAATGGTTACTTTTATGCCAATAGTGGTAATACGATTCATTTGTCTGGAGCCAATATATCGGGAGCCCTTTTGTCGGTAGCCAATATGTCGGGTGTCAATATGTCGGGAGCCTAAATGTCGGGAGCCCATTTGTCGGGAGCCTATTTGTCGCGAGCCCCTTTGACGGGAGCCAATAAGTCGGGGCCCTTTTGACGGAGCTATTTTGACGGGGTCGTTTTGTCGGGGTCATATTAACGGGGCCGTTTTGACGGGGCCGTTTTGACGGGGCCGATTTGTCCCGGGCAGTTTTGGAGGTGCACCTTATCTAATTGATGTGTAGGCTGATAATTATCTAATTGATGTGTTGGCTGACAATTATCTAATTGATGTGTAGGCTGATAATTATCTAGATGATGTCTAGGCTGACAATTATCTAATTGATGTCTAGGCTGACAATTATCTAATTGATGTGTAGGCTGATAATTATCAAGATGATAGGTAGACTGATAATTATCAAGATGATATTTATTTAGACGAACAGTCAAATTATGATTATTTAGATTAAATATGGGACGGCGTGGTCTAGCGTTAGAGAGCTAGACTGCTAATACGAGAGTCACGAGTTCGAATTGGGGTTCAGATCAGTGGAACGTCCCTGATTACACCCAGCTGGTCCCAGCTCTGATGGGTCCCTTATTTACTTACAAAGGAAGGTGGCTGGTCATCGTGCTGACCACACTATCCCTTTATATACCGCGGTCTCTAAAGCAGATGAACTCTACTTTATCTGCCCTATGTGTCTTGAGCACAAATGGGAAATGATGATGATGATTTAAAGTATTAGAAGATGGTTATGTAGATGATGTGCTGGGTGATGAATACCTAAATGGTCGAGATCTTACCAACACAGTTTAATGCTACGTTAGGTTTAAGCCCCGTAGGACACTGGACTGGTATACAGTCTCCCGTGGCCGCATCAAATCGGTTTCCTTCTGGGCATGTCCTGGGCACACATCTGTACAAGTTGAAACAGTCAATTGACATCCAGCAGTCTGACCAAGTTTAAAACCAGTCCATTTATCTCCCGTCCAGCAGTCTGATCAAGTTTAAATTAAAACCAGTCCATTTATTTTCCACCCAGCAGTCTGATCAAGTTTAAATTAAAACCAGTCCATTTATTTTCCACCCAGCAGTCTGACCAAGTTTAAATTAAAACCAGTCCATTTATTTTCCATCCAGCAGTCTGATCAAGTTTAAATTAAAACCAGTCCATTTATTTTCCACCCAGCAGTCTGATCAAGTTTAAATTAAAACCAGTCCATTTATTTTCCACCCAGCAGTCTGATCAAGTTTAAATTAAAACCAGTCCATTTATTTTCCACCCAGCAGTCTGACCAAGTTTGAATTAAAACCAGTCCATTTATTTTCCATCCAGCAGTCTGATCAAGTTTAAATTAAAACCAGTCCATTTATTTTCCACCCAGCAGTCTGATCAAGTTTAAATTAAAACCAGTCCATTTATTTTCCACCCAGCAGTCTGATCAAGTTTAAATTAAAACCAGTCCATTTATTTTCCACCCAGCAGTCTGACCAAGTTTAAATTAAAACCAGTCCATTTATTTTCCATCCAGCAGTCTGATCAAGTTTAAATTAAAACCAGTCCATTTATTTTCCACCCAGCAGTCTGATCAAGTTTAAATTAAAACCAGTCCATTTATTTTCCACCCAGCAGTCTGATCAAGTTTAAATTAAAACCAGTCCATTTATTTTCCACCCAGCAGTTAGCATATTCCTGACCAAAGAGTAACAATGTCCTTATATTTCTGCCTATACAAATTACAATGTCCGTATATTCCTGACTGTAAGAGTTATTATCAAGGGTATATTTGTTTATAATTGAAGAATAGGAATAAAAAATTTCGCCACAATAATGTGTCACTACTTGGTATTTTATAAAATTGGCTTGAAAAGTGGTTAAAAACTATATAATAATTCTAGAACTTTTAAATTAAAAAAAAAAAGATAGCAAGCGATAAAATTATGGTTGCATTTTAAATAATTAAAGGAAAGCAATTTGAAAACCATCAATTGCACTCGTTTTTATATTTTTGTAAATAATTTTAATTTATTTTATCAAATTAAAAAAAAAAAAAAAAAAAAAAAAAAAAAAAAAAAAAAAACACGTTCTTACCTATCAGGGAAAGACAGGGACAGTAAAACAATGAGACAAAACAATAGTTTTATATGAAAAAGTAAATATAGTGTAGGGCTTACATTACATGGTAACCAAAGATAAATAAAATGGCGAACGGTGGACTTTTTCAAATCGATTCCAGATATTAATTTCTAACCTTAACGAAACCGGAACTCATTTTGTACCAATTTCACAAATGTTTGTAAAATATTCAATTTAGGTTGAAAAATAAGCTTCCTTGCAACTACAATTTTAAAACACTTTTCTAGCCTATTCGAAAATTATTCTACTGTCAGCTTCGTTGTGCACAAGTCACTGTCTTTTTCCAATTGATGCGATTTTTTTCCTTAATAAATAAATGAGTGGCGCCTTGTGTCTTGATAAATCTCGATCAAAGTTCTGTTTATTGTCTTATTTTTGTTTATTGTCTTATTTTTAGTGAATTGAAAACTTATATACGTTTTATTTACGTTTCACGTTCTATTTATGAAATCGAATACATGTGTTGTTATCTTTAACTCATGAACCAGACAAAATGCTGAGTTGAGTGACTTACCCAAATGACCTTTGATACATGACCCTATAGAACCAAGTCACGTGACTTACCTGAATGACCCTTGGATATTTAAACACGTGAACCCTTCATCGCAGTTGTGAGTTCCGAGAGCACACTCGTCGATATCTGATGGATTAAGAGAGAAGGTAATAGATGACCAGGATATTAAGAGAGAAGGTAATTGATGTCTAGGATATTAAGAAAGAAGGTAATTGATGTCTAGGATATTAAGAAAGAAGGTAATTGATGTCTAGGATATTAAGAGAGAAGGTAATAGATGACTAGGATATTAAGAGAGAAGGTAATTGATGTCTAGGATATTAAGAAAGAAGGTAATTGATGTCTAGGATATTAAAAGAGAAGGTAATTGATGTCTAGGATATTAAGAAAGAAGGTAATGGATGTCTAGGATATTAAGAGATAATTTAATTGATATCTAGGATTTCAATAAAGAAGGCAATGTATATTTAGGATATCAAGAGAGGTGGGAGGTAATGGATAAGATATAAGAAGGAAATAATGTATATCTAGGATATTTAGAAAGGAGGTAATGGATATATAGGGTATCAATACTGAAGGTAATGTATCTAGGATATCAAAAGAGAGGAGAGGGGTAATGGATATCTAAGATATAAAGAGGAGGTAATGCATATATAGGATATCAATACAGAAGGGGTCGTCCATAAATGACGTCACACTCGTAGGGGGGAGGGGCGTCCGTAATTTTGTTACGGTGTGTGATGAGTGGGAGGGGGGGGGGGGTTAGATGTTGTGACGTCACATATTAGCATGATAAAAATGCAATGTTAGACAACGTGTTTTAGCCGTTATTTCGCGTTTTAGAAAACGGTTTTAATAAATTGTAATAGGAATTGGTCAAAATACTCTATGTTGACAGAGCTGACAAGATTTCGGAAAAATAGAGATGTTTTAAGAAAAATTCAACAGCTATTTTGAGGGGGGAGGGGGGGGGGGTTGTAGGCTGAGGTGTGACTTCAATGTAGGGGGGGGGGTGGTCTGGCTTTTTGTGACGACGTGTGACGGAGGGGAGGGGGGGGGGGAGGTAAAAATCGTCAAAAAAAGCGTGACGTCATTTATAGATGACCCCTAATGTATATTTAGGATATAAAAAGAGGGGGTAGTGGATAACTAATATAAGAAGAGGTAATTTTTATATCTAAGATATCAAGAGAAGGGGTAATAATTTTATCTAAGATATCAAAAGAGTAGGTATTAGATATCTAAAATATCAGAGAGAAGGAAATGGATATCTAAGTTATCAGAGATGAGGTAATGAATATCTAAAATATCAATACAGTAGGTAATGTATATCTAGGGTATACATGGTGTAACTTTCTCAACATCCAATGGTGTAGTAATTCATAAAGAATAAAAAGTCAGTTAACCGCAGGGGCTTCTGATTAGGTTTAGTCTTACATCGCAATAGGGCTGGTAAGTAAATCACCATCCAGTTCTATGGCTCAATAAAACCTGCATGAGCCATAGAACTGGTTGGTGACCTACTTACCAGCCCTATAGCTCATCGTGTCCCTAGTGCAGGGTGCTCTTTAAAACGAATGTATGCACTGTAATGAAGAATTAGGATCTAAAGCTGAAGATTTACCTAAACAGCGCTGGGTGGTGTCGTCTAGCGTGTACCCAGTCCCGCAGTTCCTCTCCCTCCGGCACACGAAGGAACCGACGGTGTTCTCGCACCGTTCGCCTGCAGCGCACGAGTCAATGCCGATAGCACATTCGTTGATGTCTGAAACATGTTGGAATACATGATGTAACCATTTTCATTAATAACTTGTAACACGTGAAATACCTTTTTTTTGCTTAGTTTAATCATGAATAACCCATATACTAAGATGAATTAACGAAACTGTTATAGCTGGTAAACATTGCTAGCTGTTAGAATGGTAGCTGTTAGAATGGTAGCTGTTACAATGGTAGCTGTTACAATGGTAGCTGTTACAATGGTAGCTGTTACAGTTCTAGCCTGTCAGAGCTGCCGTTACAAGTATGCATGTTTTCTTAGAATTTTAATCGATTAAAGTGTCGGAGAATTTTAGCTTTCTTTTGTTTTCTTCATTAAGTTAATACCCGTGTTAATTATCACCGCTTTTTTCTAACCTAGAAATGTTCTTTTTTAAAAGTTATTTGATAACAGATAGGAGACACAATTTATTGACTGCACTATTTCCTCTAAGTTGAAAAACCTCATGTCTACACCCCCCCGACCTCCCACTTAGTTGAAGAACCTCATGTCTACACCCCCCCCCCGACCTCCCACTTAGTTGAAGAACCTCATGTCTACACCCCCCCCCCCCCGCCGACCTCCCACTTAGTTGAAGAACCTCATGTCTACACCCCCCCCGACCTCCCACTTAGTTGAAGAACCTCATTTCTACACCCCCCCCCCCCCGACCTCCCACTTGTTGAAGAACCTCATGTCTACACCCCCCCCGACCTCCCACTTAGTTGAAGAACCTCATGTCTACACCCCCCCCGCCGACCTCCCACTTAGTTGAAGAACCTCATGTCTACACCCCCCCCCCCGACCTCCCACTTAGTTGAAGAACCTCATGTCTACACCCCCCCCCCGACCTCCCACTTAGTTGAAGAACCTCATGTCTACACCCCCCCCCCGACCTCCCACTTAGTTGAAGAACCTCATGTCTACACCCCCCCCCCCCCCGACCTCCCACTTAGTTGAAGAACCTCATGTCTACACCCCCCCCCCGACCTCCCACTTAGTTGAAGAACCTCATGTCTACACCCCCCCCCCCGACCTCCCACTTAGTTGAAGAACCTCATGTCTACACGCCCCCCGACCTCCCACTTAGTTGAAGAACCTCATGTCTACACCCCCCCCCCGCCGACCTCCCACTTAGTTGAAGAACCTCATGTCTACACCCCCCCGACCTCCCACTTGTTGAAGAACCTCATGTCTACACCCCCCCCCCGACCTCCCACTTAGTTGAAGAACCTCATGTCTACACCCCCCCCCCGACCTCCCACTTAGTTGAAGAACCTCATGTCTACACCCCCCCGACCTCCCACTTAGTTGAAGAACCTCATGTCTACACCCCCCCCCCGACCTCCCACTTAGTTGAAGAACCTCATGTCTACACCCCCCCCCCCGACCTCCCACTTAGTTGAAGAACCTCATGTCTACACCCCCCCCCGACCTCCCACTTAGTTGAAGAACCTCATGTCTACACCCCCCCCCCCCCCCGACCTCCCACTTAGTTGAAGAACCTCATGTCTACACCCCCCCCGACCTCCCACTTAGTTGAAGAACATCATGTCTACACCCCCCCCCCCCCCGACCTCCCACTTAGTTGAAGAATCTCATGTCTACACCCCCCCCCCCCGACCTCCCACTTAGTTGAAGAACCTCATGTCTACACCCCCCCCGACCTCCCACTTAGTTGAAGAACCTCATGTCTACACCCCCCCCCTCCGACCTCCCACTTAGTTGAAGAACCTCATGTCTACACCCCCCCCCCCGACCTCCCACTTAGTTGAAGAACCTCATGTCTACACCCCCCCGACCTCCCACTTAGTTGAAGAACCTCATGTCTACACCCCCCCCCCCCGACCTCCCACTTAGTTGAAGAACCTCATGTCTACACCCCCCCCCCGACCTCCCACTTAGTTGAAGAACCTCATGTCTACACCCCCCCAACCTCCCACTTAGTTGAAGAACCTCATGTCTACACCCCCCCCCCCCCGACCTCCCACTTAGTTGAAGAACCTCATGTCTACACCCCCCCCCCCCGACCTCCCACTTAGTTGAAGAACCTCATGTCTACACCCCCCCCCCGACCTCCCACTTAGTTGAAGAACCTCATGTCTACACCCCCCCCCCCCCCGACCTCCCACTTAGTTGAAGAACCTCATGTCTACACCCCCCCCCCGACCTCCCACTTAGTTGAAGAACCTCATGTCTACACCCCCCCCGACCTCCCACTTAGTTGAAGAACCTCATGTCTACACCCCCCCCCCCCCGACCTCCCACTTAGTTGAAGAACCTCATGTCTACACCCCCCCCCGACCTCCCACTTAGTTGAAGAACCTCATGTCTACACCCCCCCCCCCCCCCCCCGCCGACCTCCCACTTAGTTGAAGAACCTCATGTCTACACCCCCCCCCCGACCTCCCACTTAGTTGAAGAACACCATGTCTACACTCCCCCCCCCCCCCCCCAAATCTCTAGACCTAGTTACCTTCACAGCCGCCACCAACAGGGCGATACCCTGGCTCACATGCATGAGTGCCATCTTCACACAGTCCAGTGAGTGGATTTTGTGTCAGGTGGGGCGGGCATCGCGAGAAGCAGGTGAAACTACCCCTCGTATTGACGCACACCTGACTTTGGGGGCAGCGCTGAGATCCGTCGGCACATTCGTCGATATCTGAACATATTCACAAAGGTATTAAATATCTATTAATATCTAAGCATAGTTACAACGCTATTAAATATTCATCAAAATCTGAACACATCTAAACAGCTATTAAGATTCATCAATATCTAAACATATTTACACAGCTTTAAATATCTATAATATAAGCGTCCAGGTAGTGTGTCAGTCAGTCAGTTAGTCAGTCATAGCTATAGAATCTAGCAATATAAAAGTAAACAACACATGCCGTGCACTTTACCTGCATCGCATTGCATTATTAACAGAGTAGTGTCTATTTATGTAAAGATTTAAATTTTTTGATCGTCGGAAAAGTTTTTACTCTTTCGAATACGTCAACAAAAGAAAACATATTAAACAGATCAATGTCAAATAATATTTTCGCTTATATTAAAAAAAAAAATCGATACGTTTTAATAACAGAAGGGTGGAAAACAACAAATTAATTAAAATGTTTAATAATTTTGTCAGGGGTGGTAATTAAAAAAAAATATTCAACTCACGCTAAATATTGCTATTTAAGTAAAAAAAAATGTGAATTCAAATTGCGCAGACGTTTGTGAAAGCATTATTGTTGGAATACATGGCCGTTTGTTTGAGAAAGCCATTTGATAAACAGAGGCGGAGCGATCCCTCCCGGCGTCCGGGGCGAATTTTCAGTTTGGCGCCCCCCCCCCCATATATACATATATATATATATATATATATATATATATATATATATATATATATATATATATATATATATATATATATATATATATATATATATATATATATATATATGTATATATATATATATATATATATATATATATATATATATATATATATATATATATATATATATATAGGGGTCATACATAAATGACGTCACGCTTTTTTTGACGATTTTTACCTCCCCCCCTCCCCTCCGTCACACTTCGTCACAAAAAGCCAGACCACCCCCTAAAATGACGTCACACCTCAACCTACAACCCCCCTCAAAATTGCAGTTGAATTTTTTTAAAACATTGATATTTTTCCAAAATCTTGTCTAAACTATTACAATTTATTAAAACAGTTATCTAAAACGCGAAATAACGTCTACAATTCGTTTTCTAACATTGCATTTTTATAATGCAAAAATGTGACGTCGCAACATCTGATCCCCCCCTCCCCCTCATCACACATCGTCACAAAATTACGGACCCCCCTCCCCCCTACGAGTGTGACGTCATTTATGGATGACCCCATATATATATATATATATACTAGCCGTCGTTAAAAAATATGTTATAAAATAGTTATTGGTCAAAACCGCAATGTTCTTTACTACACGTTGAACGATATTAGTGACAAAACAAAGAAATAACCAAATAGCTAAAAAACTGGCTCATTTAAAATAACATAGGCTATCAATACCTATTAGAAAAACCAAATCATATATTTTAGTGGTCAACTTAACACCATATTAATGATTATTAAATGAACACGCTGATTAAATAATTCCTTTAAAAACCCGGCTGTGGTTTTTAAGTAATTTGTATTTTATAGCGTACGTAGTAGATCTATAGATATAAATCAAATTTTAATTAAATAGTTCACTTCTTTATATTCTAAGATTGGAAGATGACGCCATTAGTTTTGTGTTCTTTACGTACTTTAAACATGTGGAATGTGACGCCAATGTTTATTGCGTTGTTTTCACAACAATAAACGTTTTTCCGGTTGCATAAATAAAATTGTATATCTACATTCGAATATGCCTTTAATTTTATTTTCCTTCTTTAAATAAAATTTAGTTTATACATTTATAACATCCAACATATTATTTTCAACAAAAGTGTATAATAAATGAATAAATAAATAAATAAATAAATAAATAAATAAATGAATGAATAAATGAATGAATGAATGAATGAATGAATGAATGAATGAATGAATGAATGAATGAATAAATGAATGAATGAATGAATGAATGAATGAATGAATGAATGAATGAATGAATGAATGAATGAATGAATGAATGAATGAATGAATGAATGAATGAATGAATGAATAAATAAATAAGTTTTAATTTCCCTTAGGATGCACTATCCTTTAAAATAAACCTACAATAATCCCCCCTGAACTTTCTACAATATTCTTCTTATTCTTATACAACACTGCCGGGGATGGCAACTCGGGAAATAGAAAATATTTTTAATCCATTTTTAATTACTTATAATTTTTAAAATACAATAGAATCTCGTGTATATAGTTCAAAACTGCAGCTGAAAATGAGCTTTTAATTTTTTTTTCTACCCCTTATGGGTCAGCGCTCGGGGCGCCCGCCCTTCCTGTCCCCTAGCTACGTCTATGTTGATAAAGCGTTTGCATTTTTGTTTGTGTTTGTATTTGCGTGTTGCGTTTGCATTAGTGGTGGTGTGTTTGCGTTTTCGTTACGTTTTTTGTATGTTCGTGTTTACATTTTCGTTTGTGTTTTTGTGTGTTGAGTTTGTGTTGTGTTGTGTTTTGCGTTTGTGTATTTCGTTCGCTTTAACGTTTGGGTTGTTTTTTTGTGTATTTGTGTCTGCGTTTTAGTTTGTGTTGTGTTGCGTTGTGATTGTGTATTTTTTCTTTTGTTTGTGTTTGAGTGTCGCGTTTGCATTAGCATTTGGGTTGTTTTTTGTATTTTGTGTTTGCGTTTGACTTTGCGTTGTTTGTGTATTTTTTCTTTTGTTTGTGTTTGCGTGTTGCATTTGCATTAGCGTTTGAGCTTTGTTGTGTGTTTGTGTTTTTTTATGTTTGCGTTGTGTTTGTGATTTCTTTTGTGTTTGTGTTTGGTTTTGTTCTGTTTCCAAGTACGTACATTTTAAAAAGATTCATTGTGTCGGAGCATTGGTTAGCAGCTAGTTCATCAATATCTGAAGACATTTTTATATTTAATCAATTGTCCTGAGAAATTTTGTCTGGGATATTTTTTCTGAAATAATCTGTCCTGTAAAACACACAAAAAAAAAACACACACACGCACGCACGCACACACACACACACACACACACACACACACACACATGAATATCTTTACGGTAGGGTATTGCCTTTCCCCTTACCTTCACATGAAATAGTATCGTCTGCAAGAATGTAACCATCGTAGCATCGACATTCGACATTTCCGTCGTCGTTAGTTAGGCATCGTTGCTCACATGGGTTGTTGAGGTCACAGCTAGTAACATCTAAATACAATAGATAGCAACAACCAGCTAGTAACATCTAAATACAATAGATAGCAACAACCAGCTAGTAACATCTAAATACAATAGATAGCAACAACCAGCTAGTAACATCTAAATACAATAGATAGCAACAACCAGCTAGTAACATCTAAATACAATAGATAGCAACAACCAGCTAGTAACATCTAAATACAATAGATAGCAACAACCAGCTAGTAACATCTAAATACAATAGATAATAAAATTACAGCTGTTAACATCGAAACAGCAATATCTAACTACATGAGATAACTATTATTAGTTTATTTTCAAAATTATTAGTTTAAAATCAGTGTTTTAGAAACAATGGTGCAATAACTAGTTGATTTCAAATATATTAGTACACAACAAAGAGATTAATAATCTGTTATGCGCTTTTTAGTTTAATGTTGTTTATTAGTACACAACAACGTAGCGATTTTCAGTTACGTTCGAATTTGATGACAAAGCAAGAATATGCAGTTTTATTTAATTTTATTAGATATTAAATAAGAAATTAAAAATTAATTTATGGATTACTGTATTCAATAATAAAAGAGGAGAAAACTACATGATTAATCTCAAATTACTCAATCAGCTGGGTTAGGACGGTAAACCATTGGTCACGAATGGTTGGTTTCAAGTCTGAAAGCGCCAGAGTTTCTTCCAGGCATCTCTTCGGGGGGGGGGGGGGGGCTAAGCCCCCCCGAAAAATTTTTACCGCCCCCCCCCGAACGAAATGAAATTTATATAATTTATATAGAAAATATATACTTTTAACAGTGTCCGCCCCCCCCCCCCGAAGACAGTTTACCGCCCCCCCCGAAGATTTCAAGTGCCCCCCCGGAGAAAAAAGTCTGGAAGAAAGACTGGAAAGCGCTATTATACATATCTTGTTTGTGTTAATGTTGATAGGATTGTATAAAATTATCAAATACTAAAGACTTTCAGGGAATCAGAAATAAATTCTTATTTACGGTTTACGGAAATCAAAATTTATTCATTGGCCCTATATACCCCCTGTAATGCTTATGTATGAAATTTCGTCCATCTAACTGAAATGGTGTTCAAGTATTATGTTCACACGGGAGATAAGTAGAATGTCATTTCAGTGTATCGGAAACATTAAAAAACTAAAAGATCTAAATATCTTAGAATTAAGTTTGAAAATTCGCCCAACTAAAACAGTACTTAAATTATTGTGTTCAAACCTGAAAAAGCGTAAAATAAAACTTAAATGACCGGAAATAGTTTTTATTTTTAGTCATATCAGCATACAGCTTTAGTAATATTACGTAAACCAGAATTAATTTTATTACTTTCTCGTATATACGAAGTATAGAGAAAGTCTTGTAATCGTGAAAAAAAAAATCGAGATTTTTGCAAATCTCGACGTTTTACACCTCATTGATACGGAAAAACATAATTTTGCAATCTTGTCCGTGTGTCTGTGTGTGTCTGTGTGTGTGTCTGTGTGTGTGTGTAAACACGATAACTTGAGTACCGTTACAGCTAGGTTGATGAAATTTCATATATAAGTATTTTATCAAAATCGTAGATTCGTATCAACTTTTGAGCGAGTAACCGGAAGTGGTACTTTTTCTACTTTGAATTTTTCAAAAGCCTATAACTTGAGTACTATTTCAGATAGATAAATGAAATTTCACTTGTAAGTAAAAGATCAAATTCTCTACCTTCTGTCAAATTGTGAGTAATTTTCGTTGACCGGAAGTACTAATTTACGCTATTTCCGATTTCTCAAAAAACGCATGTAAATTTATAAAGTACTAATAATATTGCGCAATATTATGCACATTTTGTTTTGACGTTCGCTTGGTGCGCAATTCTTTTTTCTACAAGATTTTATGCTATTTTTAAAAGTTTAAGTAAACAAAAATCATGTCTATATTTCGAGTTGCCATCCCACGTAGTGTTATATAAGAATATAGAGAAAGTCTTGTAATCGTAAAAAAAAATTCGAGATTTTTGATAATCTCGACGTTTTAGGGCTCCCTGAGTCGGAAAAACATAGTTTTGCAATCTTGTCCGTATTTCTGTGTGTATGTGTGTGTAAACACGATAATTTGAGTACCGTTAAAGCTAGGTTGATGAAATTTCATATATAAGTATTTTATCAAAATCGTAGATACGTATCAACTTTTGAGCGATTTCCGATAACCGGAAGGGGAACTTTTTCTACTTTGAATTTTTCAAAAGCCTATACCTTGAGTACTATTTCAGATAGATACATGACATTTCAAATGTAAGTAAAAGTTCTAATTCTCTGTCTTTAAAATTTTGATTAATTTCCGTCCACCGGAAGTAGTACTTTACGCTACTTCCGATTCCTCAAAAAAAAAACGCATGTGAATTTATAAAGTACTAATAATATCCCGCACTAATATGCACATTTTATTTGGCGTTCACTTGGTGTGCAATTCTATTTTTTTTAAAGAGATTCTATTCTTTTATAAAAAGTTTAAGTAATTAAAAATGGATTAAAAATATTGTCTATGTCCCGAGTTGCCATCCCCCGTAGTGTTATATTAGAATATTCGAGAAAGTTTAGGGGAGATCACTCCTGGTTTATTTCATTTGTGATGTTTTGTGATTTGTGAATATAATAAAAGCCATTAAAATATTTTTTATATGTGAGATTTATTTTCCACTTTTTAGTCATTCGTTTGAAATGAATTGGATACGTCCAGTAGCTTGTGATCACTAAAATTGAATGACATGTCCCTAATTAGTTCGTGGTCGACGATATGGCACAAAATCAGTCAACTGTGAACTTGTTGTTATCGCCAACTTTAGTATTGAATGCAGTCATTTCTAAATAAAATTTTAATAACTAATTGTCGAATAAAATTTAAAAAAATCGATATTCTTGCATTGTCATCCAAATGTGAGGAAGAAAACTCACCATCAAAATGAAACGGAAGCTACCCTAGGAGCGTGACCTCATTAACTGTAATAACTGCAGAACCATTCTGTTCCAATCAGTGCCAGAAAATTTTTTGGAACGTTTCTTTTGGGTCGGAAGGTTGGACACGGAACACAAAATGGCGAGACGACCAGGTAGGATTTAAGGAGAGCAGAGCATGGGCTGATCGGTAAAAGCCGAGGATCATGAAGACAAACTCGCTAAATAAAGAATCAGTCTTGGAGTCATCCATAAATGACGACAACCACTTAGGGGGGAGAGGGGGTCCGTAATTTTGTGACGATGTGTGATGAGGGGGAGGGGGGGGGGGGGTTCAGATGTTGCGACGTCACACTTTTGCATTATAAAAAGCAATGTTAGAAAACGAATTTTAGACGTTATTTCGCGTTTTAGATAACTGTTTTAATAAATTGTAATAGTTTAAACAAGATTTTAGAAAAATATCGATGTTTTAAAAAAATTCAACTGCAATTTTGAGGGGGGAGGGGGGTTGTAGGTTGAGGTGGGGGGAGGTAAAAATCGTCAAAAGCGTAACGACATTTATGGATGACCCCCTTGCTAAATAATAGCTGTTACTTACATTGTAAGCATCATAGAAGAGGATGGGAAACAGAAGCAATTCTCTAAGCAAGGAAAGGATGAACAAGAGCTGCCAGTATCAAGCTTAAGGAGAATTTGACCGGTCGAGGTACATAAAAACCAAAATTCGAACATTCAACTCCATTGTAAAGTCTGTAAGGAGTACAGCTAATAATGTGTTAGGCACAGTGCGGCCATTGCCCCCAAGAGACAAGCGAATGAAAAGCTGTTCCAATGAACCCGACGCAGTGAAGTTTTGGATTACCCCGATAGGTTTGGTTCCATCAGGAAACAACGAGATATGATGGCTGAAGACAACGGAGATCTGCGTTTGCCGGCCTACACGCAACCCAGGGGTAAAGATTGTAAGTTAGATAGAAGAATACCCTGAAATAAAAGCTTGACAATACAAAAATATACCTGGTACCGCCTGTGTAGACGTGTTTTTCGCAGGCACTGAAGTTTTGTCAGCAACACACGTCCGGTTATCGTTCTTATCCAAGACCATGGCCTCTGGGCACGTGCAGTAGAAGCCTCGCTTTGTATTGACACAGATGTGTGAACACACCTGGCCGGAAAACAGTTTACACTCATCGACATCACTATCAAACGACGTAGTGTCTCCAGGTAAGTTGTTGCTGACGTCATTTACTGGCTGACCATTAGAGCTGTCGATAGTTGATTGGTTGTCGCGCAAATGCTGGTCAGGAGCAGCGTTCATATCACGAAGCAGATGACTTGCTTATAAACAATTAATGATTCGTCTTATTTACAGATTACTAGCTTATAAACAATTAATGATTCGTCTTATTTACAGATTACTAGCTTATAAACAATTAATGATTCGTCTTATTTACAGATTACTAGCTTATAAACAATTAATGATTCGTCTTATTTACAGATTACTAGCTTATAAACAATTAATGATTCGTCTTATTTACAGATTACTAGCTTATAAACAATTAATGATTCGTCTTATTTACAGATTACTAGCTTATAAACAATTAATGATTCGTCTTATTTACAGGTTACTAGCTAATAAACAATTAATGATTCGTCTTTTTTACAGATTACTAGCTTATAAACAATTAATGATTCGTCTAATTTACAGATTACTAGCTTATAAACAATTAATGATTCGTCTTATTTACAGGTTACTAGCTTATAAACAATTAATGATTCGTCTTTTTTACAGATTACTAGCTTATAAACAATTAATGATTCGTCTTATTTACAGATTACTAGCTTATAAACAATTAATGATTCGTCTTATTTACGGATTACTAGCTTATAAACAATTAATGATTCGTCTTATTTACAGATTACTTGCTTATAAATTATAAGCATACAATTACTCTTATTTAACAGACTACTAGCTTATAAGCAAACAATTGCTCGTCTTATTAAACAGGCTGCTAGCTTATAAACAATAAATAGTTCGTCGTATTATTATTATAAAAATCAGTTGACATTAAATTAACCATTAATTGTTCGTGTCATTAAATAAATCATCAATGTTCGTCTTGAAAATATCGATGGTTCGTTATATTAAATAAACCATTAATTTTTCCGTAGGCCTACATTAAATAAACCATTAATTTTTCCGTAGGCCTACATTAAATAAATCATTAATTGTTCCATAGGTTGACATTCCAGGAACTTCTGACACACTATGATAATGATATATTAATGAGACATTACTTTATAACATTCCGTATCTAAATGCATGATGCAATATTCATTCAGATCAATCAATGCTTTCTAGTCATACTATAAAACATGTAGTTAACAAGATGCCATATCAATTAAAGGAAATGACGACATCACTCAAAGAAATGACGTCACGACGAAATTAAAAGATATAACCACTAAAAGAAACGATATTATCACTAGAAGAAAAACGATGTTACCACTAAAAGAAAGATTCCCGGAAGCTTCTCCTCGGCAACACTCTCGGTATTTGCTGTCGCATGGCTCGCCTAGACCAGGGGACTGGCAGGCCGGTGTAGCTGTTCGTGCTACCAGACCAAGCTGGCAACAATTACAGCACTCCTGTAGATCAAGAGAGAGAGAGAGAGACGGCCTCACTTTAGTTCACGCCAACATTTGAAACAAAATATTCAGTGTCTCATGTCAACTGATGATATCTCATGTCAACTGGTCATATCTCATGTCAACTGGTGATATCTCATGTCAACTGATGATATCTCATGTTAACTGATATCTCATGTCAACTGATGATATCTCATGTTACCTGATATCTCATGTCAACTGATGATATCTCATGTCAACTGATCATATCTCATGTTAACTGTTGATATCCCATGTCAACTGATGATATCTCATGTCAACAGATCACATTTCATGTCAACTGATCATATCTCATGTCAACTGATGATATCTCATGTCAAATGACCGTACCTCATGTCAACTGATCACATCTCATGTCAACTGATCATATCTCATGTCAACTGTTGATATCTCATGTCAACTGATCATATCTCATGTCAACTGACCGTACTTATGTCAACTGACCGTACCTAGTGTCAATTGACCGTACCTAATGTCAATTGACCATACCTAATGTCAACTGACCATACCTCATGTCAACTGACCGTATCTAACGTCAACTGACCGTACCTAATGTCAACTGACCGTACCTAATGTCAATTGATCGTACCTAATGTCAAATGTCCGTACCTAATGTCAACTGACCGTATCTAACGTCAACTGACCGTACCTAAGGTCAATTGATCGTACATAATGTCAACTGACCGTATCTACTGTCAATTGACCGTACCTAATGTCAACTGACCGTACCTCATGTCAACTGACCGTACCTAATGTAAATTGACCATATTGATCGTATCTCATGTGAACCAACCTTATCTATTGTCAACTGACCGTTTATAGTCTCTGTCTGTAGATCCCCTCCCTCCCCCTATCCCAGGGACTTACATTTAGCTATAAATAGTAAAAGTGTAAGCGTTTATTACACTAGACATATTTTCAATAGTTTTTGCGGCAACCTATCTCGACCCAGCCACCCAGCAGAGGTTGCATGTCACTCGACCCACCCAGCAGAGGGTGCATGTCACTCGACCCACCCAGCAGAGGGTGCATGTCACTCGACCCACCCAGCAGAGGGTGCATGTGACTCGACCCACCCAGCAGAGGGTGCATGTGACTCGACCCACCCAGCAGAGGGTGCATGTCACTCGACCCACCCAGCAGAGGGTGCATGTGACTCGACCCACCCAGCAGAGGGTGCATGTGACTCGACCCACCCAGCAAAGGGTGCATGTCACTCCAGCCACCCAGCAGAGGGTGCATGTCACTCGACCCACCCAGCAGAGGGTGCATGTCACTCGACCCACCCAGCAGAGGGTGCATGTCACTCGACCCACCCAGCAGAGGGTGCATGTCACTCGACCCACCCAGCAAAGGGTGCATGTCACTCCAGCCACCGAGCAGAGGGTGTATGTCACTCGACCCAGCCACCCAGCAGATGTCACTCGACCCCCCAGCAAAGGGTGCATGTCACTCCAGCCACCCAGCAGAGGTTGCATGTCACTCGACCCAGCCACCCAGCAGAGGGTGCATGTCACTCGACCCACCCAGCAGAGGGTGCATGTCACTCGACCCACCCAGCAGAGGGTGCATGTCACTCGACCCACCCAGCAGAGGGTGTATGTCACTCCAGCCACCCAGCAGAGGGTGCATGTCACTCGACCCAGCCACCCAGCAGAGGGTGCATGTCACTCGACCCACCCAGCAGAGGGTGCATGTCACTCGACCCACCCAGCAGAGGGTGCATGTCACTCGACCCAGCCACCCAGCAGAGGGTGCATGTCACTCGACCCAGCCACCCAGCAGAGGGTGCATGTCACTCGACCCACCCAGCAGAGGGTGCATGTCACTCGACCCAGCCACCCAGCAGAGGGTGCATGTCACTCGACCCACCCAGCAGAGGGTGCATGTCACTCGACCCACCCAGCAGAGGGTGCATGTCACTCGACCCACCCACCCAGCAGAGGGTGTATGTCACTCCAGCCACCCAGCAGAGGGTGTATGTCACTCCAGCCACCCAGCAGAGGGTGCATGTCACTCGACCCACCCAGCAGAGGGTGCATGTCACTCGACCCACCCAGCAGAGGGTGCATGTCACTCGACCCACCCAGCAGAGGGTGCATGTCACTCGACCCACCCAGCAGAGGGTGCATGTCACTCGACCCACCCAGCAGAGGGTGCATGTCACTCGACCCACCCAGCAGAGGGTGTATGTCACTCCAGCCACCCAGCAGAGGGTGCATGTCACTCGACCCACCCAGCAGAGGGTGCATGTCACTCGACCCAGCCACCCAGCAGAGGGTGCATGTGACTCGACCCACCCAGCAGAGGGTGCATGTCACTCCAGCCACCCAGCAGAGGGTGTATGTCACTCGACCCACCCAGCAGAGGGTGCATGTCACTCCAGCCACCCAGCAGAGGGTGCATGTCACTCGACCCACCCAGCAGAGGGTGCATGTCACTCGACCCAGCCACCCAGCAGAGGGTGCATGTCACTCGACCCACCCAGCAGAGGGTGTATGTCACTCCAGCCACCCAGCAGAGGGTGCATGTGACTCGACCCACCCAGCAGAGGGTGCATGTCACTCGACCCACCCAGCAGAGGGTGCATGTCACTCGACCCACCCAGCAGAGGGTGCATGTCACTCGACCCACCCAGCAGAGGGTGCATGTCACTCGACCCACCCAGCAGAGGGTGCATGTCACTCGACCCACCCAGCAGAGGGTGCATGTCACTCGACCCACCCAGCAGAGGGTGCATGTCACTCGACCCACCCACCCAGCAGAGGGTGTATGTCACTCCAGCCACCCAGCAGAGGGTGTATGTCACTCCAGCCACCCAGCAGAGGGTGCATGTCACTCGACCCACCCAGCAGAGGGTGCATGTCACTCGACCCACCCAGCAGAGGGTGCATGTCACTCGACCCACCCAGCAGAGGGTGCATGTCACTCGACCCACCCAGCAGAGGGTGCATGTCACTCGACCCACCCAGCAGAGGGTGCATGTCACTCGACCCACCCAGCAGAGGGTGTATGTCACTCCAGCCACCCAGCAGAGGGTGCATGTCACTCGACCCACCCAGCAGAGGGTGCATGTCACTCGACCCAGCCACCCAGCAGAGGGTGCATGTGACTCGACCCACCCAGCAGAGGGTGCATGTCACTCCAGCCACCCAGCAGAGGGTGTATGTCACTCGACCCACCCAGCAGAGGGTGCATGTCACTCCAGCCACCCAGCAGAGGGTGCATGTCACTCGACCCACCCAGCAGAGGGTGCATGTCACTCGACCCAGCCACCCAGCAGAGGGTGCATGTCACTCGACCCACCCAGCAGAGGGTGTATGTCACTCCAGCCACCCAGCAGAGGGTGCATGTGACTCGACCCACCCAGCAGAGGGTGCATGTCACTCGACCCACCCAGCAGAGGGTGCATGTCACTCGACCCACCCAGCAGAGGGTGCATGTCACTCGACCCACCCAGCAGAGGGTGCATGTCACTCGACCCACCCAGCAGAGGGTGCATGTCACTCGACCCACCCAGCAGAGGGTGTATGTCACTCCAGCCACCCAGCAGAGGGTGCATGTCACTCGACCCACCCAGCAGAGGGTGCATGTCACTCGACCCACCCAGCAGAGGGTGCATGTCACTCGACCCAACCACCCAGCTGAGGGTGCATGTGACTCGACCCACCCAGCAGAGGGTGCATGTCACTCCAGCCACCCAGCAGAGGGTGTATGTCACTCGACCCACCCAGCAGAGGGTGCATGTCACTCCAGCCACCCAGCAGAGGGTGCATGTCACTCGACCCACCCAGCAGAGGGTGCATGTAACTCGACCCACCCAGCAGAGGGTGCATGTCACTCGACCCACCCAGCAGAGGGTGCATGTGACTCGACCCACCCAGCAGAGGGTGTATGTCACTCCAGCCACCCAGCAGAGGGTGCATGTCACTCGACCCACCGAGCAGAGGGTGCATGTCACTCGACCCACCCAGCAGAGGGTGCATGTCACTCGACCCAGCCACCCAGCAGAGGGTGCATGTCACTCGACCCACCCAGCAGAGGGTGCATGTGACTCGACCCACCCAGCAGAGGGTGCATGTCACTCGACCCACCCAGCAGAGGTTGCATGTCACTCGACCCACCCAGCAGAGGGTGCATGTCACTCGACCCACCCAGCAGAGGGTGCATGTCACTCGACCCACCCAGCAGAGGGTGCATGTCACTCGACCCACCCAACAGAGGGTGCATGTCACTCGACCCACCCAGCAGAGGGTGCATGTCACTCGACCCACCCAGCAGAGGGTGCATGTCACTCGACCCACCCAGCAGAGGGTGCATGTCACTCGACCCACCCAGCAGAGGGTGCATGTGACTCGACCCAGCCACACAGCAGAGGGTGCATGTGACTCGACCCACCCAGCAGAGGGTGCATGTCACTCCAGCCACCCAGCAGAGGGGGTATGTCACTCGACCCACCCAGCAGAGGGTGCATGTCACTCCAGCCACCAAGCAGAGGGTGCATGTCACTCGACCCACCCAGCAGAGGGTGTATGTCACTCCAGCCACCCAGCAGAGGGTGCATGTGACTCGACCCACCCAGCAGAGGGTGCATGTCACTCGACCCACCCAGCAGAGGGTGCATGTCACTCCAGCCACCCAGCAGAGGGTGCATGTCACTCGACCCACCCAGCAGAGGGTGCATGTCACTCGACCCAGCCACCCAGCAGAGGGTGCATGTCACTCGACCCACCCAGCAGAGGGTGCATGTCACTCGACCCAGCCACCCAGCAGAGGGTGCATGTCACTCGACCCACCCAGCAGAGGGTGCATGTCAATCGACCCACCCAGCAGAGGGTGCATGTGACTCGACCCACCCAGCAGAGGGTGCATGTGACTCGACCCACCCAGCAGAGGGTGCATGTCACTCGACCCACCCAGCAGAGGGTGCATGTCACTCGACCCAGCCACCCAGCAGAGGGTGCATGTCACTCCAGCCACCCAGCAGAGGGTGCATGTCACTCGACCCACCCAGCAGAGGGTGCATGTCACTCGACCCACCCAGCAGAGGGTGCATGTGACTCGACCCACCCAGCAGAGGGTGCATGTCACTCGACCCACCCAGCAGAGGGTGCATGTCACTCCAGCCACCCAGCAGAGGGTGCATGTGACTCGACCCACCCAGCAGAGGGTGCATGTGACTCGACCCACCCAGCAGAGGGTGCATGTCACTCCAGCCACCCAGCAGAGGGTGCATGTGACTCGACCCACCCAGCAGAGGGTGTATGTCACTCGACCCAGCCACCCAGCAGAGGGTGCATGTCACTCGACCCACCCAGCAGAGGGTGTATGTCACTCCAGCCACCCAGCAGAGGGTGCATGTGACTCGACCCACCCAGCAGAGGGTGCATGTCACTCGACCCACCCAGCAGAGGGTGCATGTCACTCGACCCAGCCACCCAGCAGAGGGTGCATGTGACTCGACCCACCCAGCAGAGGGTGCATGTCACTCGACCCACCCAGCAGAGGGTGCATGTCACTCGACCCACCCAGCAGAGGGTGCATGTCACTCGACCCAGCCACCCAGCAGAGGGTGCATTCGACTCGACCCACCCAGCAGAGGGTGTATGTCACTCCAGCCACCCAGCAGAGGGTGCATGTCACTCGACCCACCCAGCAGAGGGTGCATGTGACTCGACCCACCCAGCAGAGGGTGCATGTCACTCGACCCACCCAGCAGAGGGTGCATGTCACTCGACCCACCCAGCAGAGGGTGCATGTCACTCCAGCCACCCAGCAGAGGGTGCATGTCACTCCAGCCACCCAGCAGAGGGTGTATGTCACTCGACCCACCCAGCAGAGGGTGCATGTCACTCCAGCCACCCAGCAGAGGGTGCATGTGACTCGACCCACCCAGCAGAGGGTGCATGTCACTCGACCCACCCAGCAGAGGGTGCATGTCACTCGACCCAACCACCCAGCTGAGGGTGCATGTGACTCGACCCACCCAGCAGAGGGTGCATGTCACTCCAGCCACCCAGCAGAGGGTGTATGTCACTCGACCCACCCAGCAGAGGGTGCATGTCACTCCAGCCACCCAGCAGAGGGTGCATGTCACTCGACCCACCCAGCAGAGGGTGCATGTAACTCGACCCACCCAGCAGAGGGTGCATGTCACTCGACCCACCCAGCAGAGGGTGCATGTGACTCGACCCACCCAGCAGAGGGTGTATGTCACTCCAGCCACCCAGCAGAGGGTGCATGTCACTCGACCCACCCAGCAGAGGGTGCATGTCACTCGACCCACCCAGCAGAGGGTGCATGTCACTCGACCCAGCCACCCAGCAGAGGGTGCATGTGACTCGACCCACCCAGCAGAGGGTGCATGTGACTCGACCCACCCAGCAGAGGGTGCATGTCACTCGACCCACCCAGCAGAGGTTGCATGTCACTCGACCCACCCAGCAGAGGGTGCATGTCACTCGACCCACCCAGCAGAGGGTGCATGTCACTCGACCCACCCAGCAGAGGGTGCATGTCACTCGACCCACCCAACAGAGGGTGCATGTCACTCGACCCACCCAGCAGAGGGTGCATGTCACTCGACCCACCCAGCAGAGGGTGCATGTCACTCGACCCACCCAGCAGAGGGTGCATGTCACTCGACCCACCCAGCAGAGGGTGCATGTGACTCGACCCAGCCACACAGCAGAGGGTGCATGTGACTCGACCCACCCAGCAGAGGGTGCATGTCACTCCAGCCACCCAGCAGAGGGTGTATGTCACTCGACCCACCCAGCAGAGGGTGCATGTCACTCCAGCCACCAAGCAGAGGGTGCATGTCACTCGACCCACCCAGCAGAGGGTGTATGTCACTCCAGCCACCCAGCAGAGGGTGCATGTGACTCGACCCACCCAGCAGAGGGTGCATGTCACTCGACCCACCCAGCAGAGGGTGCATGTCACTCCAGCCACCCAGCAGAGGGTGCATGTCACTCGACCCACCCAGCAGAGGGTGCATGTCACTCGACCCAGCCACCCAGCAGAGGGTGCATGTCACTCGACCCACCCAGCAGAGGGTGCATGTCACTCGACCCAGCCACCCAGCAGAGGGTGCATGTCACTCGACCCACCCAGCAGAGGGTGCATGTCAATCGACCCACCCAGCAGAGGGTGCATGTGACTCGACCCACCCAGCAGAGGGTGCATGTGACTCGACCCACCCAGCAGAGGGTGCATGTCACTCGACCCACCCAGCAGAGGGTGCATGTCACTCGACCCAGCCACCCAGCAGAGGGTGCATGTCACTCCAGCCACCCAGCAGAGGGTGCATGTCACTCGACCCACCCAGCAGAGGGTGCATGTCACTCGACCCACCCAGCAGAGGGTGCATGTGACTCGACCCACCCAGCAGAGGGTGCATGTCACTCGACCCACCCAGCAGAGGGTGCATGTCACTCCAGCCACCCAGCAGAGGGTGCATGTGACTCGACCCACCCAGCAGAGGGTGCATGTGACTCGACCCACCCAGCAGAGGGTGCATGTCACTCCAGCCACCCAGCAGAGGGTGCATGTGACTCGACCCACCCAGCAGAGGGTGTATGTCACTCGACCCAGCCACCCAGCAGAGGGTGCATGTCACTCGACCCACCCAGCAGAGGGTGTATGTCACTCCAGCCACCCAGCAGAGGGTGCATGTGACTCGACCCACCCAGCAGAGGGTGCATGTCACTCGACCCACCCAGCAGAGGGTGCATGTCACTCGACCCAGCCACCCAGCAGAGGGTGCATGTGACTCGACCCACCCAGCAGAGGGTGCATGTCACTCGACCCACCCAGCAGAGGGTGCATGTCACTCGACCCACCCAGCAGAGGGTGCATGTCACTCGACCCAGCCACCCAGCAGAGGGTGCATGTCACTCGACCCACCCAGCAGAGGGTGCATGTGACTCGACCCACCCAGCAGAGGGTGCATGTCACTCGACCCACCCAGCAGAGGTTGCATGTCACTCGACCCACCCAGCAGAGGGTGCATGTCACTCGACCCACCCAGCAGAGGGTGCATGTCACTCGACCCACCCAGCAGAGGGTGCATGTCACTCGACCCACCCAACAGAGGGTGCATGTCACTCGACCCACCCAGCAGAGGGTGCATGTCACTCGACCCACCCAGCAGAGGGTGCATGTCACTCGACCCACCCAGCAGAGGGTGTATGTCACTCGACCCACCCAGCAGAGGGTGCATGTGACTCGACCCAGCCACACAGCAGAGGGTGCATGTGACTCGACCCACCCAGCAGAGGGTGCATGTCACTCCAGCCACCCAGCAGAGGGTGTATGTCACTCAACCCACCCAGCAGAGGGTGCATGTCACTCCAGCCACCAAGCAGAGGGTGCATGTCACTCGACCCACCCAGCAGAGGGTGTATGTCCCTCCAGCCACCCAGCAGAGGGTGCATGTGACTCGACCCACCCAGCAGAGGGTGCATGTCACTCGACCCACCCAGCAGAGGGTGCATGTCACTCCAGCCACCCAGCAGAGGGTGCATGTCACTCGACCCACCCAGCAGAGGGTGCATGTCACTCGACCCAGCCACCCAGCAGAGGGTGCATGTCACTCGACCCACCCAGCAGAGGGTGCATGTCACTCGACCCAGCCACCCAGCAGAGGGTGCATGTCACTCGACCCACCCAGCAGAGGGTGCATGTCAATCGACCCACCCAGCAGAGGGTGCATTTGACTCGACCCACCCAGCAGAGGGTGCATGTGACTCGACCCACCCAGCAGAGGGTGCATTTCACTCGACCCACCCAGCAGAGGGTGCATGTCACTCGACCCAGCCAGCAGAGGGTGCATGTCACTCGACCCACCCAGCAGAGGGTGCATGTCAATCGACCCACCCAGCAGAGGGTGTATGTCACTCCAGCCACCCAGCAGAGGGTGCATGTCACTCGACCCAGCCACCCAGCAGAGGGTGCATGTCACTCGACCCACCCAGCAGAGGGTGCATGTCACTCCAGCCACCCAGCAGAGGGTGTATGTCACTCCAGCCACCCAGCAGAGGGTGCATGTCACTCGACCCACCCAGCAGAGGGTGCATGTCACTCGACCCACCCAGCAGAGGGTGCATGTCACTCGACCCAGCCACCCAGCAGAGGGTGCATGTCACTCGACCCACCCAGCAGAGGGTGCATGTCACTCGACCCACCCAGCAGAGGGTGCATGTCACTCGACCCAGCCACCCAGCAGAGGGTGTATGTCACTCCAGCCACCCAGCAGAGGGTGCATGTCACTCGACCCACCCAGCAGAGGGTGCATGTCACTCGACCCAGCCACCCAGCAGAGGGTGTATGTCACTCCAGCCACCCAGCAGAGGGTGCATGTCACTCGACCCACCCAGCAGAGGTTGCATGTCACTCGACCCACCCAGCAGAGGGTGCATGTCACTCCAGCCACCCAACAGAGGGTGCATGTCACTCGACCCAGCCACCCAACAGAGGGTGCATGTCACTCGACCCACCCAGCAGAGGGTGCATGTCACTCCAGCCACCCAGCAGAGTGTGCATGTCACTCGACCCACCCAGCAGAGGGTGCATGTCACTCCAGCCACCCAGCAGAGGGTGCATGTCACTCCAGCCACCCAGCAGAGGGTGCATGTCACTCGACCCACCCAGCAGAGGGTGCATGTCACTCGACCCAGCCAGCAGAGGGTGCATGTCACTCGACCCACCCAGCAGAGGGTTCATGTCACTCGACCCAGCCACCCAGCAGAGGGTGCATGTCACTCGACCCACCCAGCAGAGGGTGCATGTCACTCGACCCAGCCACCCAGCAGAGGGTGCATGTCACTCCAGCCACCCAGCAGAGGGTGCATGTCACTCGACCCAGCCAGCAGAGGGTGCATGTCACTCGACCCAGCCACCCAGCAGAGGGTGCATGTCAAAGAGGAAAGATGGAGGTCACTTGACTTACACGAAACTGTTCAGCGCCAGGATCCGTGTCTCTGATAGCACACACCTGCTTGTCCAACGCTGTTTGCTTGCCGTCCTCACACGTCTGGTAATGCGTCTGCTTCATGCAGCAAACCTTCAAATTATTCACACTTATTTAACACTTAGAGATTCACATGGGATTCATTCATTAGCTCTTTTTATCACACAAATACATAACTATTATTGTTATTATTATTATCATCATTATCATTATCGTGTTGAATCTATTGAAACATTCATTAGATAGATAAGTAATTCATAGGGAGTTTCTTCATTAAATGTTACCAACTAATTGACAAAATGTATGTTGTTCTTAAAGGCCCTATTCAGGGGTTTACGACAAATTCCCGAATGTCGTTTGCCCGAAGGCCATTTTTCTGAAACGACAATTGTCCCGTTCGGGCAAGTGTCTTTCGGGCGTTTGTCCCATTTGGGCAAATGTCCATTCGGGCGTTTGTCCCATTCGGGCAAATGTCAATTCGAGAAATCAGCCTTCGGGTAAACGACATTCGGGAAAGTGTCTATCGGGAAAACGTCCGGCTCCCTATGTTAACATAATATCATAAACACAAACCGCCGAATCAAAGAAAACGTTCATCATTTACATTTCATTGGCGCACACATCGACACCAGCAAATCATTGGCGCACACATCGACACCAGCAAATCACTGGCGCACACATCGACACCAGCAAATCATTGGCGCACACATCGACACCAGCAAATCATTGGCGCACACATCGACACCAGCAAATCATTGGCGCACACATCGACACCAGCAAATCATTGGCGCACACATCGACACCATCAAATCATTGGCGCACACATCGACACCAGCAAATCATTGGCGCACACATCGACACCAGCAAATCATTGGCGCACACATCGACACCAGCAAATCATTGGCGCACACATCGACACCAGCAAATCATTAGCGCACACATCGACACCAGCAAATCATTGGCGCACACATCGACACCAGCAAATCATTGGCGCACACATCGACACCAGCAAATCATTAGCGCACACATCGACACCAGCAAATCATTGGCGCACACATCGACACCAGCAAATCATTAGCGCACACATCGACACCAGCAAATCATTGGCGCACACATCGACACCAGCAAATCATTGGCGCACACATCGACACCAGCAAATCATTGTAGCACACATCGACACCAGCAAATCATTGGCGCACACATCGACACCAGCAAATCATTGGCGCACACTTGAACACCAGCAAATCATTGGCGCACACATCGACACCAGCAAATCAGTGGCGCACACATCGACACCAGCAAATCATTGGCGCACACATCGACACCAGCAAATCATTGGCGCACACTTGAACATCGGCAAATCATTGGCGCACACATCGACACCAGCAAATCATTGGCGCACACATCGACACCAGCAAATCATTGGCGCACACATCGACACCAGCAAATCATTGGCGCACACATCGACACCAGCAAATCATTGGCACACACATTTTCATGCACATTTAAATGTATTAAAACCACAAACACACATTCTAATGTGCAGCCTGGCCTTACCTCTATTATAGCCAGACAAGCCGCTTGGTCATTGTCTGAGACATTGGCGACAGGCGCGGGATAGTTGTCACATCGACCGCTAAGTCCGGAGTATTGGGCTCCTTCATGACAGCAAGGTTTGAAGATGTCATATAGATCAGCTGTGACATTTGGAAAAGAACACTTTTTAATCCACAGCTTCAACGTGATTTTTTTATTGAAAATTTTATTTCTGAAAAGGAGGCTGTTCCTTTATAAAAAAATCAAAATTAAAATGTCTATCAGACCAAAAAATATATCAATTAATTCAAGAATTCTTTTATATCTATCTATCTCTATACTACTAAAACTCAACTTTGTTAACATGTTTGAATATTTATTTGTTTGTCTGATTTACTACTGGAATCTGCCATATGTATAGACCTGTAAAATAGTATGTAGGTAGAGAACAATTTTTCTTTTCAGACACTGTTAATCACACATTTATTTACATACGTTAATTAATTAATTAATTTATTCATTGGTAGATTAACCACATTAATTTTAAAAGTTTCAAACAATAGCTTTATTTTGACTGAATAGTAACGTCACATTAATTGTTTACTTTTTAGTACAATAAAATGGCGGCTTCTATCGAAGAAGATTGTGTTCCCATTCCAATGTTTAACGCGTTCTAAAGCTAATTTTCTGTCGGCTATAACTTTAACAATACGTCCGTTTGCTGTATTTATTACGTTCCATCCAACACTTATATCAATTTTCAACTGTCTTTCTCATTTAGTTTTACAATAAATTTCTCTAGCTCTACAATCTGTCCAAGAAAGTTATTTATAGATCTAAATATCAGGTGGCCAAGAAAGTTATTTATAGATCTAGATCTAGAATCTAGGTCAAACCAAAGATTAATTAGATACAAACCAAAGATTAATTAGATAAAAATACAATACGTTTTAAAATCATTTTAGTCCTTAAATACTTGATATAAATCTTTGTGATTTATCAATTTAGATCTAGATCTATCTAGAATATGTCTAATCTAGATCTAGCAAGAGTTACGCAAAAACTAGACTTAAGACTTAAGCAAACGAGTCGTAGAATCTAGATCTAGATCTAGATAATTTCAGACCTTCATTATTTTATATAAATCTTTGTTTGTTTAGCTATGTAATTGGCTAATTTAAGATACAATTTAATTTGAAAGTTACTACTACTAGACTTAGATCTAGATCTAGATAGGGAATATGCGCGTAAATCAAGTTGCATAAGGAGACTCAAAGTATTGAAGTATACCATAAAAAACATCAGTGATGTCACGAGTCTAAATAGCTAAGTTCTTAGTGTAATAGGCTTTCATGCGGGTGCACGGGTTCTAGATAGGCCTACATCACGTCAATGTTAAAAAAAAATTTTCAATTTTTTTTTTCTGAACTTGGCAGGATACAGGGAAGGTGAAGTAGAGTTTACCAGTTTCTTTGTCCTAAGCATATGAAGAGATAGTGTGGTCAGAGACATGCTCGGCTGGAATCGTTTTTTTAAACGATAAAAACATATTGTCTGAGATTTGGCGGGACACTGGGAAGGTGAAGTAGAGTTGAGTAGGTCACCTGTCACGTCAGTATATGAAGGGATAGTCCGAAATCGGTGTTTTTAAAAGATAAAAACATCTTTTTGAATGTGGGGTCTGGTTTTTTGTGACGATAAGTGACAGACGTGATGTTTTTTTTTTACTTTCTCATATACACGAAGTATAGAGAAAGTCTTGTAATAGTGCAAAAAAAAAAAATCGAGATTTTTGCAAATCTCGACGTTTTACACCTCATTGATACGGAAAAACATAATTTTGCAATCTTGTCCGTATGTCTGTGTGTCTGTGTGTCTGTGTGTGTGTGTGTGTGTGTAAACACGATAACTTGATTACCGTTACAGCTAGGTTGATGAAATTTCATATATAAGTATTTTATCAAAATTGTAGATCCTGATCAATTTTTGAGCAATTTCCGATAACCGGAAGTGGTACTTTTTCTACTTTGAATTTTTCAAAAGCCTATAACTTGAGTACTATTTGAGATAGATAAATGAAATTTTACATGTAAGTAAAAGATCACATTCTCTACCTTCTGTCAAATTTTGAATAATTTCCGTTGACCGGAAGTAGTAATTTACGCTATTTCCGATTTCTCAAAAAAACGCATGTAAATTTATAAAGTACTAATAATATCCCGCACTATTATGCACATTTTATTAGGCGTTCACTTAGTGTGCAATTCTTTTTTTTACGAGATTCTATTCTATTATAAAACGTTTAAGTTATTAAAAATGGATTACAAATATTGTCTATATCCTGAGTTGCCATCCTTCGTAGTTTTATGTTAGAATATTCGAGAAAGTTTAGGGGAGATCACTCCCGGTTTATTTATGGATGACCCCCGAAACCCACAGTTATCCAAGGGATGACGGGTAGTCTAGTATGTATATAAAACCTAAATCGAATATTCCAAAAACATGTATAAATTAAATCTGAGATAGGGGAAAAAATTAACAATTGATAATATCAAATACGGGGACAATATTTTTTTAAATGAAGAGAAGGACAACAGGAAGAATTATTCTTACCACAAGCTGTGCAAAACGTTGCACATAAAATAAAAGCCAAGCGTATGTAGGCAGACATATTGGCTCAGTTTTGGTTAACGTTTTTGTCGCCAGATGTGTGAATCACTCTTGGTTGATTTTGTTTTTGTCGCCAGATGTGTGAATCACTCTTGGTTGACCAACTTCTAACACTGCAAAAAAAAAACAAAAAAAAAAAACAACTAAGTAACTATAATTAACTACAATGATATGTAATTAGCTAATATTAACTACAATTAACTACTATTAACTGTAATTAGCTAATATTAACTACAATTAATTACTATTAACTGTAATTAACTACTATAGCCTGTAATTGGCTACTAAACCGAAAGTAAAAAGTTTGGGTCCGGGACGAAAGCCCGAAGTCGCCTTTAGGTGCAACTCACGGGTACCTGACTCACGTTTTAACGGGTACCTCACTCATGTTTTAACGGGTACCTGACTCACGTTTTAACGGGTACCTCACTCACGTTTTAACGGGTACCTGACTCACGTTTTAATGGGTAACTCACTCACGTTTTAACGGGTACCTAATTCACATTTTAACGGGTACCTGACTCACGTTTTAACGGGTACCTCACTCACGTTTGGGTATTGATGAGAAAAGATGATGATGAAATATACCTACACGTGAACGTTTGGAAATCCGATATTTAGACGAATTAAGCTAGGCTGTAACTAATCAAATAAAACTGCTATTTCTATCGAACGACTAAATACAGTCCCATGATTGTTCTACCAAACACTATACGATTTTGGAATACTTTGGGAATTTCTTTGATCTCCTTATTTTTTTTTACATTTTTGTGAAAATAAACGTGTAAAAAATAGATCTAGAATTTTGTGATAAACTGCTGAATTTTTACTTTCTCATGTAGGCCTACTGAGTATACAGAAAATATTGTGATCATGCTGAAAAATTAAATTGTAATTGTGCAAGAAATCTAAATGGAGAATTTAGACAAGCTTTAGTGTTAACATCCTTCCTTAGGGGTCATCCATAAATGACGTCACGCTTTTTTTGACGATTTTGACCTCCCCCCCTCCCCTCCGTCACACGTCGTCACAAAAAGCCAGACCCCCCCCCCCCTAAAATGACGTCACTGTCGTCACACCTCAACCTACAACCCCCCTCAAAATTGCAGTTGAATTTTTTAAAAACATCGATATTTTTCCAAAATCTTGTCTAAACTATTACAATTTATTAAAACAGTTATCTAAAACGCGAAATAACGTCTAAAATTCGTTTTCTAACATTGCTTTTTTATAATGCAAAAATGTGACGTCGCAACATCTGACCCCCCCCCCTCCCCCTCATCACACATCGTCACAAAATTACGGACCCCCCCTCCCCCCTACGAGTGTGACGTCATTTATGGATGACCCCTTAGGGATCCGGAAGTACTTAGTTCTGCAGTTTTGTCCGTGTATGTGTGTCTGTAAACACGATAACTGAAATACCGCTTCTGTTATGTCGATGAAATTTCACATATAAGTATTATATTAAAAAAAAGTTATGCTTCAACTTTTGAGCAATTTCTGGTAACCAGAAGTGGAACTCACTCAAGTTCCGGCTTTTAGTGGTCCCAGTGTTTCTTCCAGACTTTTTTCTCCGGGGGGGGGGGGGGGCGGACACTGGTAAAAGTATATATTTTCTATATAAATTCCATTTCGTTCAGGGGCGGCGGTAGACTTTCTTCGGGGGGCGGCGGTAGAGATGCCTGGAAGAAACTCTGAGTGGTCCCCAAATTTACTGCTTAATAGGTAGGAAAAGTTTATGTAATCATAATAATTTAATTTTTTTTTTTAATATGGCAAGCGATAAAATAATGGCTACATTTAAAAAAAAAAATAACACCCGTTTGGGAACCATCGATTACACTAATTTTCATGTTTTTGTATTGAACATAAGCCGTTGAAGATAAATTTGAATTATTGTATCAAATTAAATATTTAATAAAACCGCCCTCAACCCCACCTTGAACTGAACTGAAGTGGCCAGGGAGAGTAAAACGATGAAAACCATAACATTTGTTATCCATGATAAATCTTAAAAGATTCGTTCCATTTTTGTAAAATAAATTTGATTAAATCGTTAGAGTGTTTTTTTTTTTTTGTTTTTTTTTTTAAATCTAGTATAAAGTTAAGATTTAACCACCGTGGGTCTTACCACGGTTGCACTGACCGGACAGTTATTAGATAAGCCTAGGAGGTAATCAAAATAAACAAAATGGCGAACAGTGGAATATTTTCAGTTCGACTCAGGCTTTAAAAAATCGTTTGTATCCCTTTTCATTACAGTTGGCATATTTTTTTATGACTGTTATGATCAGATTATTAAGATCTAACATTCTTATTAATTGTTACCTATTTTTTTTTAAAAATATGTTTTTAAAGCAAGTTTCGTAATTTTTGTTAGGCTTATTCTACACCAGTCTACGCACGGCTTTTTAATAAGTTTAATTATTTATTAAATATAAAAATACTAGATCTAGATCTATTCTAATTTATATAAACTCAATACTAATACTAACTAGATCTAGATCTTATAGACCAGAGCAGTGGTTCCCAACTTTTTCGAGTGTCGACCCCCTTTTATAAAAAGTAAGTGACCCGCGACCCCCATAGAATTAAAAAGCCGAAATTAGTATGGAAAGTAATAAGCACTAAAATAAGATTTTCTAGTAGACTTTCAATATGAACTACTCTTGATAACTGTTTTAATAGCATGAGTTAAATTGCATACTATTCACTAAACCTTCGTGGTTAAGTTTTTAATTTCTAAATTTTTTTTGTTAACGCCAACCTATGTCATTATAATTATCTTAATTTTGTTTTTAATCGAAGAATAGTGTTGAAAATACATTCTCGAAAAGTCAATCAATTTTACGTTTGGGTATGAATGGCGAATACTACACCAAAATTGTGTCTGCAGTTTTTCATCTTACTCGGAATCATTCTGCAAATCAAAGAACTCATCTTGTAATTCATCGGGAATGCTGGCAACATCAAGGGAAGAAGAGAATGGGTAATGCGTAAATGCAGATTCTTCTTTTTTTCAGCTCAGAGAAATAGCGATGCAGTTCGTTTTCAAGAGATTCAAGATGTCCAGAAATCGCTTCTTTCAAATTTTAATTATCTCACAGTCAGATTCATCTACCACATCGCAGAGTTTCTCAAATTTACAATATTTCCAAGATTTATTTTCTTTACCGATTTTGCAGCTTTGATAAAAATGCCCCGAGATTATCATGGAAAGTTATAATATTCGTTCATTTTCCCTGAATCTTCAGGTTAAGCTTATCTTGATGTTCAAACACATCTGCTAGGTATGATACTCTCTCCAACCACTCTATGTCGTTTTAAGTATACCAAAAAGTCTTGTTTCCTTTGCACTTCCAAGAACAATTTGATTTCAGATTTCAATTCAAAAACACAATTTACAACATTTCGTTTGACAGCCAGCGTACTGTAGTGTAGAAGAGCAGAACCTCATGATCTATATTAATGTTTTTGCTCAGTTCTTTGAAGGCTCCAGATTTTATATAATTTACGACTTATACTAGCAATGGACTCTTGATGTCGATTGGTTAGGGCAGTGGTTAGGGAGCTAAATCTTTTCTGTTTTCTGAAAGCCCGATTTTGAGCTAAACATAGATGGCGCACCATCCGTACAAACCCCCAAAGCCGTTCTAACCCATTTTAATCACCCCGTTTTAAAATAAACCGGTAGTGATCTCCCCTAAACTTTCTCGAATATTCTTATATAAAACAACAGGGGATGGGAACTCGGGCTATAGACATGATTTTTAATCCATTTTAAATACTTAAAGTTTTTAAAATAGAATAAAATCTCGTAGACAAAAGAATTGCACGCCAAATAAAAAAGTGCATAATAGTGCGCAATATTATTAGTACTCTAAAAATTTACATTAGTTTTTTGAGAAATCGGAAGTAGCGTAAATTACTACTTCCGGTCAATGGAAATTACTCAAAATTTAACAGAAGGTAGAGAATTAGATCTTTTACTTACATGTGAAATTTCATTTATCTATCTGAAATAGTATTCAAGTTATAGGCTTTTGAAAAATTCAAAGTAGAAAAAGTACCACTTCCGGTTATCGGAAATCGCTCAAAAGTTGATACGGATCTACGATTTTGATAAAATACTTATATATGAAATTTCATCAACCTAGCTGTAACGGTACTCAAGTTATCGTGTTTACACACGGACAGACAGACAGACATACAGACATACGGACAGAATTGCAAAGCCCAGGTTTTCAGACTGGATTACGCATAAAACCTCTTAATTTTGATAAATCTGGATTGATAATTTTTGCCCGATTAAAATAAGTCCTCTATACTTCGGATGTGATGAAGGACTGAGGTGTAATACGGTGAAAACTGTTAAAATTTCAAGTGATTTTTGTGCACGATTACAATACTTTCTCTATACTTCGTATATACGAGAAAGTAAAAACGCATTTATTTTCTCGATGCTATCTCCACAAAATAGCAACTCTTCTTTGCTATCATCCGCATGAATATAGACACAGACCAGCAACTGCCAACACGAATTCACGTCTGTTGATTTATCAACTTGAAAAGCAAACAATGGTGAAAGCTTAATTTCAATAAAAATGTGTTATTTAACATTTACGTACATGCAGCGTTTGATGAGATTTTCTCCTATTGTTTTTTTTTTTTTTTTTTTTTTTTTTTGCTTGGCATTTTCTATCGCGACTTCATTTGATGCTTGCACTAATGCTGGTGAAAACTTCTTGTTCGATCAAGTCTCTGGCGTTTGCAACTAGCTTCTTACCGACGAAAGAACTCCATATATTTTTTGTGTGTTCCGAATGACTCGTCTCAAATGACGTTTTAGTTTTGAAGATTTCATAGATGCGTGACTGAGAACAACTTTGTACTGTGCGCTTTGTTTCTTCTCTATTACATTTCCAGTGATGTTAATGTAGCCGAATTTCAAAAATTCTTCTAAATATTTATGTTTTGTTTCAAATTACTAAGGTTTAATATACCAGTTGGCGACCCCCCAGAAAGACCTTCGCGACCCGGGGGTCGCGAACCCCAGGTTGGGAACCCGTGGACTAGAGAATCAAATAATTAGCTAAGTAACTAATATAGAACGCTCCGGGATAGCCCAAGGCACCAAGTTGCACCCTGCTGGGCGCCGGCGAACTACTGGTTCAATTTAGTTAACGGGAATATTCTTAACATCTTCCCAAAGTTTCATGGCGACCGGATGAAAGGTGTAAAAATGTATAAAAGACAGACATACATACATACACACAGACATACATTGCTTTATATATATAGATTAACGGATTTTTTGTTTGTTTTGTTTCTGATGATAATTTTGGATATCATCATGGTTTGTATTTCCTTTTATAAACATCAATCGATTAGTCAGAGTTCAGGGAGAGGGGGTATTTCGCGACCATTCACTTTCACAGGACAATTACCTGCCCTTTCTTAGTCCGTGGTCGTCTCTCAGGCCAAAAAAACCACACAAAATCAATCATCCGTGAAAACCAGATCAACGTTGTAAAATCACTTGAGATTTCTTACCAAATTAAGAAATTGTATAAAATAAAAAAATTAATGTCTTAATTAGAATTAAAATAGATATCCTTGCATTGTCATTAAAGAAGGAGGCTTCTGGAAAGTTTGTACGAAATCATTGCATTTGAAGTGGGTCAAACTTGAGTTAAAATATTTGCCACAAGCACAAAAACGGACGTTGTAAGCTAAGTTATAGATTGTAATAAGTGTAGCAATTTTTTTAAATAGAGGGCTTTTAGTTATTTTCACAAATCACAAAAAAATGTTACAAATGAAAAATGCACTAAAAGTTTTAAAAAATTTAGTTTGGTGTAACCTTACTAAAGTTATATGCTGGTATGACTAAAAAATAAAAGCCTAGAATTTTTAAAAATATATCTTCCTTTATTATTGAAGAGTAATTTAAATTAAATTTTAATGACTAATTGTCTATCTAATTATACTATAAAAAATTGTTTTGTTATCCAAGATCTGCCTCTGTGACAAATTTCAGCTCAATCGGACAATGGGAAGTGGGTTAAATAAATATTCCAATATTTTACACACACACACACAAACACGCACACACATACACACAATCAGTGAGTCAAATAAAAGCCTTTAAAAACTTGAATAATTGTAAAAGTATCCACAGCATGTTAGAAAAGTGACATAATTTTAAAAGCTTCCACAATCAACATGTAAGAAGATGATTGACAAAATGGTAAAAATATTTGCAACTTACATGTTAGATAATTACAAAAGTATTTACAAATCACATGTATGATAATTGTAAAAGTATTCATAGCTTACATGTAAGAAATTCCACGTTGTCTCACGCAAGATCTACCTTCACGTATCGTCTTTCTTAAATGGCGTGTATTCAAAAGACGTCTGCTACAGACTGAGTTCCCATACTGGCTGACCTGTAGTCCAATGTGACACGAGCTTTGTGCGAAGCATTTGACCGTGACAACTCTCCTGCAAACATCTCCCGTAGAACTGGGTCACTGTGCACGTTTATTCAGCGTCTAGAAAACGCGACTTTTGAAAAGTTGATATCCATAGTCTGTTGCGCCTCTCTAAATGCCGAATGCAACGCTTTGCACACTACACATTGACATAGAGTCTTCAATTATTCTAATATAAACTAGATCACATTTGAAGCAGTTTTTTTTCTTAATTCCCCCCCCCCCCCCCACATGAAATCTCCCCTACAACTGTATGGTTTAAAACATCTGAAATGCGTTGTTAGCGAGACCTTGACAAGTTGCCAGCTGGCCAGTTTGTTTAGATAAGAGGATGTAGCGAGATAATATGATATGAGCTAATCTAGGGGCGTACACAAACACCGAGCTAGCCAGTGCCCGACATTCACTGGAATTCTCTTGCTTTGGTAGAAATAAATAGGGTAGAAATAAATAGAGAATAACCTAAATTCAGAATCTGCTTCAAACTATAAACGGACGCTCACGAGTTACATTCCCATTTGCTGTTGAATGAGAAACGATTCCAGTAAAATACTAAAAATTGTTCCATATAATACCACAACAAAAAATATTCTCTGCAATGTATTAGAACATTAAATCTAAATTACCATAGTGAATGTATCTAAACTATTATATAACAAGTCTAGGGCCCAAAAAGATCATAAAGTTCTATGCATCTTCCAAGGGGGGGGGGGGTGTAGACTACCAAAGAAAGAGATGTTTAATGTCCAGTCGCTCACCAATGAAAAATAAGATCTTGAACTTTACTTTAGTGTAAGATGTTTTGTTTATTCCTGGCCAGGCGCTGTTGAATTTATTATGGGTGATCAACCGATTGTATGAAAAACGAGGTAATTAAAAAGTCTAGTGACAATTTTAGCGCAATTTCCTTATGTTATCTAAAAATAGCTCTGTCGTAGCGTAATCAAGAGCAGGGTTGGTAAACCATTGGTTAGTTATTAAAACGTTTTTTATTAATTTTTGTTTTCAGTATTTTACATGCTTTAGTTACAATAGAGTTACATGACTAAAAACCATTGCGCGCCTAGCTACTGAACGTGATGACGCAGCCATTGAACGTGATGGCGCAGCTATTGAACGTGATGACGCGTGTGGTCTGGTTGGATAAACATGCCTACTAATTCGGTCCAAATTTTAATCAATTCAAATTTTTTTTGTGACCGAACGAAAGGATATTTTTGAAAACTTTCTTCGGCAATATTGTTCTAAATTATAGCAGGAATCGATTGGTACATGTTTCAAGTCGCTAAGTGGTCTGGTTGCCGAGATATGGGCAAAAAACTGCATTTTTTGGGGAGTTTTTTTGGCTTTTCCGGGAAATCCATGAAAGAAACCCGGAATTTCTTTGGCCCACTATCATCCTGGTAACTTGCTTAACATAATTGCTTTGGAACTAGTCCTCGATATTGCTTCGTTGAGGAGGAAATACGACTTAAAGCTGCGGACACACATCCATCCATCCATTCATTCCCAGAAAAGACGAGTTAATAAACGCAATTCTCCAGAATGGAAATTGCGCTAAAAAAAAGTCAAAATTAGTAAAGTAATTAATCAGCACTAAAATAATATGTTATCGTAGACTTTCAATATGAATTAATATTGATAACTGTTTTAATACGATGGGTGAAATTACATGCTATTAATAACTAGCCTCAACATTCGCGTTTACGTTTTTTTAAAGCCAACCGCATTTCATTCTGAACATTTAATTTAATTCTTTGATTTGTTTTTAAATGGAGAAGTGATAAAAATCTATTCTCGCAAAGATATGTAGACACAAACGGAACTAAAACTCAAAAGGCAATCAATTTCACTTTTGGATATGAATGGTGCAGACTACACTAAAATTATGCGAGCAATTTTTCATTTAGCACGGTACGTGACGCGAAATCGTTCCGCAAATTTAAGAATTCATCTTGTAATTCCTCGGGAATGCTGGCAACATCAAGTGAGGCAGAAAATAGTTTAGGCCTAGGTTTCAATCCAGATTCTTCTTTTTGCAGCTCAGGGAAATTACGCCGCAGTTCGTATTCAAGAGATTCAAGATGCCCAGAAATATCCTATTTAAATTTTTAATTTATCTCACAATCAGATTCATCTACCACACTGCAGAGTTTCTCAAACATGGCAATATTTCCAAGATTTAATTTTTTTCCTCCAGTTTTGAAGCTTTGATACATAGGCCTATGCCCCAAGTTTATCATGAAAAAAGAATATTCGCTCATATTCCTTGAAGCTTCTGGTTAAGCTTACGTTGATTTTCGAATATATCTGTTAGGTATGATACTCTCTCTAACTACTCTTTGTCATTAAAGTTTGTTTCCCTTGCACTTCCAAGAAAAACTTGATTTCATCTTTAAGTTAAAAAACGCGATTCACAATTGATATCATCTGAATGAATATTTTTCACAAAGACAAGCAACTGCGAACACGAACTCACGTCTGTTGATTCATCATCTTGAAATGAAAACAATAGTGAAAGATTTATTACTTTCTCGTATATACGAAGTATAGAGAAAGTCTTGTAATCGTGAAAAAAAAAAATCGAGATTTTTACAAATCTCGACGTTTCACACCTCACTGATACGGAAAAACATAATTTTGCAATCTTGTCCGTATGTCTGTATGTCTGTCTGTGTGTCTGTCTGTGTGTCTGTCTGTCCGTGTGTAAACACGATAACTTGAGTACCGTTACAGCTAGGTTGATGACATTTCATATATAAGTATTTTATCAAAATCGTAGATCCGTATCAACTTTTGAGCGATTTCCGATAACCGGAAGTGGTACTTTTCCTACTTTGAATTTTTCAAAAGCCTATAACTTGAGTACTATTTCAGATAGGTAAATGAAATTTCATATGTAAGTAAAAGATCTAATTCTCTACCTTCTATTCCGTTGACTGGAAGTAGTACTTTACGCTACTTCCGATTTCTCAAAAAACTAATGTAAATTTTAAAAGTAATAATAATATTGCGCACCATTATGCGCTTTTTTATTTGGCGTTCACTTGGTGTGCAATTAATTTGTCTACGAGATTTTATTCTATTTTTAAAACTTTAAGTATTTAAAATGGATTAAAAATCATGCCCGAGTTCCCATCCCCTGTTATTTTATATAAGAATATTCGAGAAAGTTTAGGGGAGATCACTCCCGGTTTATTTTTTATTCAAAATGTGTTCTTGAGCATCTACAGACCTGTCTGCTATAATCGCTGAATAGTATTATTAGACAGAGATATTTGTTGCATCTTTACTGCACTGGAATGCCAAGAACTAATGTCACCATCTTCAACATGCAGGGTTTGATGATATTTTCTCCTATTGTGTGAGTTTTCTTTTTGCTTGAAAATTTCTAATGCGACTTGATATGATGCTTGCACTAATGCTGTACTTCCTTGATAAAAAACTTCCTGTTCGATCAAATCTCTGGAATTTGCAATTAGCTTCATGCCGACGAAAGAACTCTATATCTTTTTTGTATGTTCCGAATGACTAGTTTTGAAAGTTGCATAGACTCATGACTGAGAACAACTTTGCACAGTACGCATTGTTGCTTTTCTTCTTTATTACATGTCTAGTGATGTTAGTAAAGTCGAATTTCAGATATTCTTCTTCACGATTTTTTTTTCATTGCAAGGATTTAATCTGCCAGTTGGCGACAACCCCCCCCCCCCCCTTTGACAGTTTGGGAACCCATGCTTTAGAGCAGGGGTTCCCAACCTTTTTTTACCCTAGAGCACATTCTAAAATATCGGTAGGGTGGCGGGCACCACCTATTTTAAATCGACAAACTCCTTCCAGAGGGACAAAACTTTCGATTTGCACCCCCCCCCCTCAAATTTTCGATTTGCACCCCCCCCCCCCTCAAACTTTCGATTTCCATCCCTTTCAACCTTTCAATAAAGTTTATGAAAAAAATTCTTTCTCTGTCGAATAGTGAGAGGCAGGCACATACGAATCGTTCGGCGGGCGCCATGGCGCCCGCGGGCACGGGGTTGGGAAACCCTGCTTTAGAGTGTACGTTTGTAGAAGATGCAAGCTTATTTGGTCAGAACGTGTGCCTGCACACTTTTGCATCTTGAAAAGTAATGTTAAGAGCTGAACTATAGCTGTTATCTCGCGAATTGAAATATATAGGCCTAGTTTTGTACATAGTAATATAAAATGATCATTATATTCAATACTGATCAAGCTTATTCAAATTGCAGTTTTGAGGGGGCTGATGACACTGTGTGACGTTTTTTTAGGGTCGGGTGTCCAGATATGGGTAGGAAGGGTACAAACGTTTCTATAAGCGTGACGTCGTTTATGGACAAGCACTTAAATCCGATAAACGGCTTACTATCAACAATTTTCAATCTGGTATCTATCTTTTTGGTATTCAATATAGTCATCGATAAATTAAATTACTAGATTGAAACTTATTAAGATTTGGTCATCAAAATTGACCAGGTCAATGAACGAAAACGGAGAAAGATTTGCTGACTTGTGTGCCACAAATAATTTAATGATTGGAGGTAGTCTCTTTCATCACAAAAGGATACATAAAGCTACTTGGGTATCACCCGACCTATCTGCAGAAAACCAGATAGACAATATATGTATCATAAAAAAGTTCAGGAGATCACTTCAAGATGTACGCGTCAAGAGAGGAGCTGATGTTGCTTCAGACCATCATCTACTTTTTGCTAAAGTAAAACTCAAACTCAAGAAAAACATGATGGAAAACAAAAGGAAATACAGATACAACACAGGCCTGCTTAAGGACCCCTCTAAACTCAATGAATTTAAACTTCATATGTCCAATAGTTTTCAGGTACTACAAGAACTAATAGAAGAAGAGGCTATAGAGGAAACAAGGAAAAAACTAATGCATATTAACATCAACATCAAAAGACAAGCGAAGGAATGGATATCAGCAGATACCATGAAAATTATTGAAGAGAGAAAAAGAAAGAAGGCAACATTAAACAACAGCCGCACACGGGCTACTAAATTAAAAGCACTGGAAGAATACACAGAAACAAACAAAAATGTCAAGAAACACATAAAGAAAGACAAACAGAGTTATTTGGAACTGCTGGCAAGAGAAGCGGAAGAAGCACTGTACCATGATAATATTAGGGACGTGTACAATACAATTAAGAAGATATCTGGGAAGTTCAGTAAGCCAGAGAGGCCAGTGAAGACCAAAGA